GTGATCCCAGGGTCGTGGGATGGAGCCCCGCATTGAGTCGGGCTCCCTGCTCAGTGGGGAGCCGGCTTCTCCCTCTCCCTGAACCCTCCCACCCCCCACTTGAGCTCTCTTGCTCTCAAATAAATTAAAAAAAAAAAAAAAAAAAAGCCTTGCTATATAGATGATGGGAGATGTGGGATCAGTTTCCTTTGTTGACTTTCTTGTTCCTTCTGTCCCTTAACTAAGAGCATTCACCTGGCTCAGCCCCCAACATCCTGTGTCTCTCTACACTCCCCTTGGAGAGCTTTCATTCTCCTGGCTCCAACCCTTACCCCTGTGCTAGGGACTTCCTCCCCATCTCCCAGACATCTAACTCATTCCTTTGTCTGCCACCTGGACGATGCACCATCACCTCTCAGTATGTTGAGAACTGAAGCCCTCTTCCCAACCTTGCTGTTAGTGATGCAGGTATTCTGGTCACTCAGATTTGTAACCTTGGCATGGCTGCAGAGACCAAAGTCTCCTCTTCCTGCCCTCCCCCCTCCCTGCCGGCTCCGCCAACGCCGTTCTTTGTATCACATCTGGGTCAATCTTCCTTCCACACAACACTGCTTTCACTATGTTACTTCCCTGCTCAAACTTTCTGATACCCAACTGAACAACTCCAGGTAGTTACTGAGGCCACCGTGGTCTGACTCCATACTACCTGTTCAAACCTGTTTTCCACTACTCAAGAGTAATAGAAGCATCTGTCACGTATTACAAGCGGGCTTTGCATTGTCTCAATTTTCACATAACTAACTAGAAGCCAAAGAAGCAAACATTATCCCTATTTTGTACTCTGAGACTGTCACAGGCACAAGGTCACACCAACAAAAACTGGAGGAACGAGAACTAGTCCCAGAACTTCAAACTTGTCTTTGCAAACTGCACTGTAACCTGAACACATGCCTTTCTTGGCTTCAGCTCAGCAAACCTACATGGAGGGCCCACTCCAGAAAGGCTCTGTCTAATGCGTCAGTGGGTATGAGTAAGAATTTCTGCACTTGTTTACACTCTGAATGGAAAGAAGGTAGTTCCTTCCGGAACGGATGACAAGGGTGAGGCCAGAGTGCCAACAGCGGACCAGGTGTGCCAACTGAATGACATGCATGAGTGCAGCCCGGAAGGGACTGGAGATCTGATTTGAACATCAGGTAACATTTCCAAGCATGTACCATTTTTTTCTTTTTTTTTTTTTTTTTGTAACTGAGTTTTATGCCCATGACCTCAGGACCCTGAGATCAAGAGCCACATGCTCTACCAACTGAGCCAGCCAGGCACCCCTGAGCAGTTACCATTTGGAAACGGCAGTGAAAATAGTTTCTCAAATCTGTGGTGGCAGGGAGGGTGCTCCAGGCAGAGGAAACAGCATGCCTCCTTCAACTCCCCCTGCCTTTCAAGGCTCTCCGTGCAGTATTCCTGGACTAATCTAGAGCTGGCTCCTCCCCCCGACTCTACCATTATTTTGTATCATAACTTGAAAGAATTCCTGTTCATTTTGTTTCCAAAGTCACTCGTCTTCCCAATTAGATTTTAAGGTCCTTGATGCAAGAATGAGCTTCCACTTCCATTCTGTCCAAGCATCTCAATGCCAACGATGGCTTTTGCCCACACCAACTGTGGGAAGGGCTCTGAATTCCCCAAAACACTTCACTTTCACTGTTTTGACTACTGAGACTCAACATAAAGGAAGTTTGCTGTAAGGTCTAGTCTCTCTCCCTTCTCCCAGGCTTAGGTTCTCCTCAGGGAAGAGTCTGTCTGGTTTAACAAGATGGAAATGGAGGCGCCTGGGTGGCTCAATCGGTTAAATGTCTGACTTCGGCTCCGGCAGTGATCCCTGGGTCCTGGAATTAAGCCCTGGGTCTGACTCCGCGCTCAGCAGGAAGTCGGCTTCTCCCTCTTCCCTCCCCCCCGCCCCGTCCTGTGCGTGTGCATGGTCTCTCTCTAATAAATAAATAAAATCTTTAAAAAAACACAAAAAACACAAGCTGGAAGTGTACTGGTGAGGTTGCGGGGATACAGGCATCCCTGTATATTGCTGGCGGGAGCGTAACTGAGCCGCTTCTATGGAGGACAACACCAAAATCAAAGGCATGCTATTCCAGCAGTACCGCTGTAACGGATACACCCACAGCAGCACGAGCCTGTTTGCAGCCCAAGAAAACACAGAGCCACTTCTGTCATTCGGGCACTGATTAAATCACTAGGCATCCACACAAAGGATCTGAGACATATTTTTTTTTTTTTTAAAGATTTTATTTATTTATTTGAGACAGAATGAGAGAGAGAGAGCATGAGAAGGGGGAGGGTCAGAGGGAGAAGCAGACTCCCCGCCGAGCAGGGAGCCCGATGCGGGACTAGATCCCGGACTCCAGGATCGTGACCTGAGCCGAAGGCAGTTGCTTAACCAACTGAGCCACCCAGGCGCCCAGGATCTGAGACATATTAAATGGAAAAATGAGGTACAGGACAGTAAGCACAGTGTCCCCATGCATACGCCCAAAATATTCCTGGAAAGGAAATGGCCTTGGGGGAGAGAAATAGGTGGCTGGAGATAGGTTTTGGAAAGGAGACCAGCCTTTTACCTTTAAATTCTGAACCATGTGTCTGTATCATTTTTTTTTTTAATTATGCATCAGGGGCATCTCGGTGGCACAGTCGGTTAAGCATGTGACTCTTGGCTTCAGTTCCGGTCCTGATCTCAGGATTGTGAAATCGAGCCCCACGTCTGGCTCCGCACTCAGCAAAGAGCCTGCTTCAGGTTCTCTCTCCCTTTCCCTCTGCCCCTTGCGCTCATGCTAAGTAAATAAATCAATCTTAAAAAAAAAAAAATAGGGGTGCCTGGATGGCTCAGTTGGTTAAGCGTCTGCCTTCGGCTCAGGTCATGATCCCAGGGTCCTGGGATTGAGTCCCGCGACGGGCTCCCTGCTCAGCGGGGAGTCTGCTACTCCCTCTGCCTCTGCTGCTCCCCCTGCTTGTGCTCTTTTGCTGTCAAATAAATAAATAAAATCTTTAAAAAAGAAAAATTAAAAAAAGAAAAGTATGCATCAAACAACTTTCTAAAAATGTCTTCATCATTATGGCAAAAAACTTCCTTTTAAACCCCAGAAAGTCTAAAGAAGTTAATGAGTGACCCCCACCCCCCCACAATTGTTCCTCTGAGAACAGAACTGTCTCATCCCCCTGCTTAAGTCCTCCTCCCCAAGCTCGGCATTCACTAGCTGTCTCTGGTTGTTGAATGGATGAAATTTACTTTCCCATCTAAAAGTAAAGCATTCCGCAAACAAAAGGAATCGCAAACCAGTGACGGGTGGCAGGGAGATGCAGCATGGCTGAGAACTGCTTTTGCCTCATGTACTATTCCCCTTCCATTCACAGAGCACCATGTGCAAGGCCGTGCCGGGGCTGAGGTGTGGGCTCTACCCTGGGTCTACCAGGAGACGGAAGAGACTGTACACAAAGAACAGAAAAGCTACATGAGTTTTAAAATCAGGAATTTCTGAAGCAGCTTATTATTAGTAGTTGAAAACTAGTGGCCTTAGGATCACAAATATAAAGGCTAGAAACTCAGAAGATGTCATTCATTCAAGAGAAGGTATGAAAATGAAGAAAGCAGAACGGTTGGTAAGGTCTCATCACCACATCTCCACACCAGGGAGGCAGGTGGATGCCGGTGGATCACGGCATCTAAATGAGCTGGCCCCCTCCTGGCAATCCAGTTATCTACAGATGTCCTCTGAATTCAGTCTTCAGCTGGATGTAATCATTTATTCATTCAAATCTTTACTGAGCAGACTAGGTTTGGGCCTATGCTAATTGTCTCCAGCACTCTCAACCTAATCTATGAGATTAAAGCTATAGTTTTGACCTTTGTCTATCAACAATGATAGGTTCTCACTCTTACCACAAAGCCCAAGTCAACTTGACCTCTCAAGTTGAAGATCAATAGTTCTATAACAAAACGTGAAGATTATCTGCAGACAGAAAGTTGGCCCAGGGGACATACCATATGCATAAGTAAAAGCCTGATGGGGCCAAAAAAGAGAAAGATACCCGAGAATCAGATATAGCCAACCCACATGTTAACACAGAAATCCAAGCAGACCTACTCAGAACAAGTCCCATTCAAACCATACTTATAAAGGTTTCTTCATGCTATTTACAATTTTAAAGTAAATTTACTTTATAAGCAGCCAGGGAATTCTTTATTTAACACCGTCCTAACATAAAAGTTCATTCAAACCATGAAACTCAGCTTTATGACAACCTAGAAATAGGAACTAAAAGAAGGCAAACATAATGCCTTAGAGACTGGGAAACATTTACACAGTCCAACTGTTAAAAACAGTTCAACATTCATCTAGTGAATACAGTTTGGATGTCAGTATACACGGTATACAAGTTCTTCAGGGAGGTGAGAGACCTTTCGGCTGTTCTTCAGATGTCTCCAAATGCTGGTCCTGTGGAACTTCTTGTAGAGGCTGGTTTTTTTCCAATACTGTTTGCGGTTTGACACCCGTGGGTTCAGATTCCCAGGAAACGTGACTACCTTCCTTTTGCTTAAAAGACCAGACATAAATACATCACACAGATGTCATTTTCACTCCACTGACTGGCCGAAGCTGTATGACTAAGCACATTCTATCATGGAGTCAAAACGTAACATTAATATCCCAGGTCAAATTCTACTATAACAAGCAATACACGTGATAAAAATCTCTGGAGAACCATAATTTCAAAAGCCCTAATGACAACTCACTTGTTCCAAGTAGCAGTCACTATCACAAAATTTTAGTGTGTGTGTGTGTGTGTACACATTTTTTTTTTTTTTTTTAAATTTCAGCGTATTTCATCTACCAGTATTTGACCTGGTGTTCAGGGACATAAACCAAGGTTGGAGAAGGAAAACCAAGTCTTCCTTTGACTTCTAACAAATAGACAACTAACCCTAATAACAATTTTAATCAAAAAATACTCACAGTCCTTGCTTCTACTCTTCTCAAAATGACACCTGCTGCCAATAAAGCCTTCCCTGTTTCCACAAATAACTTCTCTTCATCTGTTTCTCCAAGCTTCTGTAGCTCAATGTACTTCTCCACAAACCTGGAATTCCAAGCAGACCACATGTGAGGGCTGTATATTGAGAGTCATCAAGACATGCTGTCACACCGTATCAAGCATTCCTTTAACATGTCTTCCTAGAGGAGCGGCTTTTCCCTGCGGTGGACTTCAACAAAACTCCTCAAACCAGTAACTAAATTCCTTAAAAAACAAAAAAAACTAACCCAGGAATTGTAAAATGGCTTACTGTTGACAAGTAGACTTGAAATTTGGATTGAACAGATCAAAAGCTTTCTGACCAGATCCATAGGCTGAGTAAAATTTCCTAGAAAATATAAACAACACAATATAAATCTCCATTTACAGATCACGGCCAAGAACGGAGTAAAGAAAAATTACTAGTCCAAACATAAGCTCTTTTTTTTTTTTTTAAATAAGTAGTGCATGCACATGGCAAATAAACCAAATATTACAAAAAGGTATCCAATGAAAAGTTAACATTCCTGCTCACCTCTGCCCCCAACCCCAGTTCCCTCCCAGGAAGCAACACTAACCAGTTTTTTGTGTATCCATCCAAGAATATTCTAAAGTACAAGCATATATGCATCTATCATTCCCTGTCCCCAGCCATACAGTTTAACTCCAAGAACAGAAAACACTATTGTACATCCTGCCTCTTCTACTTAATAGTTCTTAGAGATCATTTCAAATCAGTGAACTTAGATTGTTTCCAATCCTTTGCTCCTTTAGACAGTGCTGCAACGATTAACTTTATCAATATTTCTTAGTACACTGTGAAAATGAGTCTAGAATAAATTCATAAAAATAGTATTACTAGCTCAAGGTATGTGCATTTGTAATATGGCCTTCCAAACTGCCAAATACTTCCCAAACTGGCTGTGCCAATTTACGTTCACACCAATAATGCATGAGAATGTCTATTTCCCCACACCCGGGCCAAATTCTATTTTCCAACTTTTTCTTTTGTCAATTTGACAGGTGAAAAAATATAACTCGTTTTATTTTTGCCTTTTCTTATGAAATAGACTGGACATCTTTTCATGTTTAAAAGCAAACTGAATTTCCTTTTCTGTGCCCTATCCATGTTCTTTGCCTTTCATTTGGTGGGTTTTTTCTACTGATTTATAAGCAAACTATACAGCAGTATAAATAGGAAATCAGCCCGTCATACTTGTTGCAAAATTTTTTTCCCAGTATGTTGGCTGACTTTTGTTTCTGTTTGAGGTACTTTTTTTGGGCAGAGAATTTTAATATTTTCATTTATGGCTTCTGGGTTTTATATTTACAAAGGTCTTTATCACTCAGATTATTTTTAAAATTCTCCCATGTTTTCTTCTAGTACTTTTATGCTTTCATTTTTTACATTTAGGTTTTGCTATATCTGGAATTTATTTTATTGTTATAAGTTCTTTAAAAATATTAAAAACACTAAAAAGAAGCCACAAAAATAAAGGTTCAAAAAATTACTTAAATGCAAGGTATTATTATTTTAACATTAACAGTAATAAAAGAAGCAGTAAAATATTCCACATTCTCCAATGACCTATCACCTAGTTCCTGCTATTCACACAGCAGAAGCACGAAAAAAAAGCACATTTTTTTTTTAATTTTTAGAGATAGAGAGCACAAGCAGGAGGAGGAGGAGAGGGAGAGAGAGACTCCCAAGCAGACTCTCCATGGTAGAGCCCAAGGCAAGGTTCAATCCCAGGACCCTGAGATCATGACCTGAACCAAAAACAGAAGTCGAATGCTTAACTGATTAAGACACCCAGACACACCCACAAATGATTTTAATGTATAAATCCTGACCAAGTGCATGCAATGAGCCTACCCAGAAAAGCACTGACAAAGTATTTAATGCCCCCAAAGAGCTCGGGAACTACCCTGAAAATTTCCAAGTAGAGCAAAAACATACTCTTCTCCTACCTCAAGGAGTGTTGGGGGCCAGGGGAGGAGATTCCTCAAATGAAAGGGGCCTAGACCTCAAATGAGAATATAATGACTTCATAAATTGTTTTCTTACATCCGGAAATAGAGAAAAGAATAAGGGGACAGGGGCACCTGGGTGGCACAGTCGGCCGAGAATCTGACTCGTGGTTTTGGCTCAGGTCACAGTCTCAAGGTTGTGAGATCGAGCCTCGCCTGGGGCTTCATGCTCAGCACAGAGTCTGCTTCTCTCTCTCTCTCCCTCTGCTCTTCCCCCATGCTCTTGTGTGTGTGCGTGCACATGCTCTCAAAAAAAAAAAAAAAAAAAGGAGAAGAAGAAGGAATATGTATTACCCTGAATAACGTACAACCTCCAATCTTAATATTTAAGAAAAAAGAATCATACAAATTCTGGGTACTAAAAACTGACATCAGTATTTGAGGGAAAGAGCTGTGCCACTGAATTCCCAGTGAACTGACCTCCTTGAGCCTCAGTCTTCATGAATAAAATGGAGACAATATACTGATCTTATAGGATTAGAGTAAGGCCTAAGTTAGAGAATTTTTTTTTTTTAAAGATTTTATTTATTTATTTGAGAGAGAGAATGAGATAGAACATGAGAGTGGGGAAGGTCAGGGGGAGAAGCAGACTCCCTGCCGAGCAGGGAGCCCGATGCAGGACTCGATCCCGGGACTCCAGGATCATGACCTGAGCCGAAGGCAGTCGCTTAACCAACTGAGCCACCCAGGCGCCCCGAGAATGTTTTTTAAGGGCTTAGCATAGTGCTAACAGACGCACAGAAACGGGTAGCTATAATTGCAATTATCAGTCCATTGCTGGGCTCCAGATTCTACTTCCCAGAATTTGTTTCTGAATTCCTAACTTGGTAGATACACAAGACCTCCTCCACAGGGCAAGCCCTGGCTCGACTCCCACTAAAGTTACCAGACTAATAGCTAAATCCTTCCTTCTGAAGTTCTGCTGCCTCCTGTCCATCATGGGGGCTTTGTACTCACGCTCTAATCCTGTCCTCGGGGTACAAGATGTCCTGGATGGCAGCTTTGGCTTTGCCATATCGCAAGCGGGGCCTTCGGAAGACAGGCTCTCTCAGCGGGGGAAAGGCATTATATATGTCAAACCAGAGGGGCTTCTCATTCAACACCCCAGCTCGAATCAGGTCCCGAGTCCTTAAGGAAGGAAAAATAACGAAGGACAGTCAGTTACAACAGCCTGTCTAAGCCCCTGAATCAGTCTAGCACAGTCTGGGACATCAGTGGGATCACGGAGTCCCCAAGACCGAACCGGAAGGAGGCCACAGCAGGGGTGTTCCCCACCTACAGTTAACATATTTCCATACTCCAAACCGCCCTAACAAAGCTCAGGGGTTAAGTCCTATTTTTCTCATGTGCGTCCCACTCCCCTCGCCCCATCCCCGTCGCGTCGAAGGAAATACAAAGATGGCCCAGCCGGGCCCATCATCATCTTCCTCCCTTCCTCTTCCTAGAGAACTCCACTCGGGCAGGAGAGGTGCAATCTTGGGCGGGAAAGATACATGCAGGGAGTGGCGCCGTCAAGCACACCTATTCAGAGACAGGAGAGAGCACGAGTGGGCCTCACCCGGCTCAGCCTCCCGCACTCTGGAGAAGGCCTCGCCCTGCTCTGACCCACCCAGAAAGACCGTGAGCTGTCGAGAGCACCCATCCGGAGGAAGCACCCTCAGCCCACACCGGCTCCGAGCACGCACCGCGAGAAAACGCTGCCCACGGTCTCCAGCCGGCTCCTCGCCATGGCAGGCGCCTCGGACGCTCACGGCCTGGGGCTACCGGAAGCGGAAGCGCCGGCGGCAGGCGAAATGGGCGTAGGCTGCTGGCCGAGCCGAGGATCGCGGCGCTCTCTCCGCAGCCGCAGCCGGAGAGCCGAGCCAGGCAGAAGCAAAGGATGGGCCGAACTGGCGCGGCCCTCGCTCCCGGCCAGGTTCAGACGGGAGCACTCGACAGCCGAGCCGAAAGGGACGGAGCGGGTCAGAGCCGGGCAGAAGCAATAAATGACCGAGCTAGAGGAGGGACTCACGCTGGCGCTGGCGTTACCCTTTCCGGCCTGGCGGAGCCACCTGCAGTCAAGAAGGTGGGGCGGCGCGGAGGGAAGATTGATGGGGAGGAAGGAGGCAGGCGCAGCCAACTAGGCCAGGACGCACGTAAAGGCAGAGATGACAGGTCACACCGGGGCTGGGCCCGGACTACGCCTTACGTTGCTTGGAGACACAGACTGCGCAGAAGGAAACCGAGGCCGGGGATGGGCAGGCACTGGCCCAAGGTCACACTAGCGCCCGAGCCTCCGTCCTCCGTGCCCTGCTGCCTCCTGCATCCGCTGCCCTCGGGATGCTGCGGGGCAACTAGTATTTTCTCCACCGGGAGACGTCTCGGGCTCGCTCCTCCTTGGAGCTGGAAAAGCAAAAGTGAACAGAACAAATTCGGAGACGGAGACTCAGAAACCTGGGGAAAGTAACCCCTCAGGGTGACCTTTTGGTCCAATAATCATACGTTGGGTAGAGTACCCCAGAGAAATCAAAGCTCAATTTGCTGAGGATACTTGTGCAAAGATCGTCATTGCAGCATTGCAGTGGGGAAAAAAGTCAAATGGAAGGTTATGGTTCATATATCCTATGCAATCCTATGCAGCTATTACAATGAACAAGTTATGGCCCTATGTATTTACCTAGAGGCATGCCCATGACTTCTAGTTAAATGAAAAAGGAAGTTGCAGAGAAACATTTTAGTGGGATCCTAACCTGTTCAAAGAAAAAAGAAAACACCTTTATATGTGTTTGTGTTTGAATGAAGATAGAAACTGTGTGGAAGGCACACAAGACTGTGAACACTGGTTATCTCCAATCTTGAGACTGCAAGAGAAGAGAGAATTTTTTCTTTAGATATCCCTCAGAGTTTGACCTGTAAAGAGTTTTTATTCATATTTGAGCTTTTTAATCCAATGAAATGTTTTGAATCACATACACACGAAATAGCTCCTGGGAGCCCATTATCATCTTTGTCAGCCAGAAAGAGCAGCAAGTCATCCCAGAGCCCTCCCACTCTATGGGAGGCTGGTAAGGAGGAGAGAAGTAATGTTTTAGGAGCAATTACTGCTTGTTTGTGTTATCTTGGAATCCACACACCTACCCAGAAGGTAGCTATTATTAGCCTTATTATAGATGAGAAAGTGAGGCCACAGGGGGTGAAGTAACTTGTCAGATACCTGAGTGACAGAGCCAGGCTTCCAGCACAGCCTGGGCCCTTTCCAGAACCCACAACCTTCTTTAGTTATGCCTCAAGCTGGAGACAGGTAGACCTACGGAGGTGTGACAAAGCTGGCCCCAGGGCTAGGGGCCAGGGTGACCCTAGGCCCAGGGCTACACTAAAAGGTGGGTTTCACTGTTGCCACAAGGCCCTGTGACACAGGGAAGAGAGAACATAGTTCTGGCTGGTGGGTCAAGTGTAGAGATTCCAATCTCCCAGTCATAGGAAGGTCTGGAAGACTCTGCTCTAGGGAGAGCAAACATGCTCCCAGCTAAATATAGTCTTCCCAGCCTCATAACAAGTTTCTAATTCTGTCTAAGTCAGAGCTAGCTGCCCGCGGGGACCACAGACACACTTCCCCTCCCCCACTCGGGCCTCCCCCCTCCCCAGGCCACTGCAGTGACCGCTGGTAAAGAAGTAGAAGGCTTTATTCCATGATCAGGGAGGTGAGCCAAGAACCCAAACCCTCAACAGGGGAGGAATTGCAAGGTGGGAATTTTTCCTCTAGATCTTCTTAAGAAAGTTCCTTCCTCTTCTGAGCTTTGAAAGTTTCCCCTCCAGCATCCTATTTAATGCCTCTGTGACTGAGACAGGGGAATGCTGGTGGGTAGATAGGAGGACCACAGGGATGTGGGAGCAAGATGAATCGGGAGCCCTCTGAGCCTGCAGCAGGAAGTGTGCGCCCCAGCGAGCGTTCATTCAGGAAAGGGAAGAAGATGTCAAGCAGCTGGGGGCAGGCAAACTGGACCTTTGAGGCTTCTGTCTTTTCACCCAGGACCTCTCAAGGCTGCAAGGGACTGATGCACTCGTGCCAAGCACTGCACCAGGAATCTGGATTGTCTTGTTCAACTGTTCAACTACCTGATGCCACAGGTAATGCCCTGGCGATCTTACACAGAAGGAAAGAGAACCTGTAAACTCTCCAAAAGGCCATATGCCTTCCACTACACTGCTCGACCCCTATAGATGTGCCCACTAAGTAGTGTCAACTGTCTGCGTGGCTTGCTGCAAGAGGAGAAGCCTCCATTCGTTAAAGCCCGAATCGTAGCCGCGGGCACTTAGTGCTGGACCGTGACAAGTCTGATCGCGGTTCCAGCATCATTGCTGCTCTTGTGACCCGTAAGCCACCGACTGCCACCTGCGACTGCAGCAGTTTCGTATTCCATCAACTGCCACTGTTGTTTTATTTTCTTGTTAAATGATCCATTTCTCTCACAAGCATTTAAGCACCAACCTGACCCTATGCTGAGTCCTGGAGAAGCTGACTGTCCAGTGGGGGAGACAGAGAAGCAAATTCATAATGGATAAGTTGGGTGCTGAATAGCATGTGGATTATAGTAGTCGGCTAGGGCGGCCATAACAAGGTACCACGGACGGGGTGGCCTCGATACCAGAACTGTATTTTCTCACAGTTCTGGAGGCCAGAAGTCCGAGATCAACTTGGCAGGGCTGGTTGCTCCTGAGGCCTCTCTCCCTGGCCTGCAGATGGCCACCCGCTCCCTGTGTCCTCATGTGGTCTTCTCTCTGTGTCTGTGTCCTCTTCTTATGACACTGGTCATACTGGATCTGGGCCCAACCTAATGGCCTCACTTTAACTTCAATCTCTCTCTCTCTTTTTTTTTTTAAGATTTTATTTATTTATTTGACAGAGAAAGACACAGCAAGAGAGGGAGCACAAGCAGTGGGAGTGAGAGAAGGAGAAGCAGGCTTCCTGCAGAGCAGGAAGCCCAACGCGGGGCTCAATCCCAGGACCCTGGGATCATGACCTGAGCCGAAGGCAGACGCTTAACGACTGAGCCACCCAGGCGCCCCTCAATATCTCTTTAAAGACTATCTCTAAATGCAGTCACATCCTGAGGCACTGGGGGTTGGGCGTTCAACATAGGAATTTTGGAGGGACGCTGTCCAGCCCCATAAGGTTGATAAGTACTTATGCTGAAGGGCTTCCGTCTGCCCAGCCAGATCCACACCCACTCTGTGCTCTTCTTCACCCTGCTCTGTTCCCCAGGAGGCTGACTTCTATGGACCTCATCCCCCGGCCCTGTGCTTCCAGCCAGGGTCCAGTTGGTACCGCCAGTGGGAGGCATTGGCAAGGGAATGGAAGGAAGGAGGAGAGTGAAGTCAGTCTCGAGTTATTTCGCTAAGCATAATACACTGTAGTTCCATCTGTGTTGTTGCAAATGGCAAGATTTCATTCTTTTTGGTGACTGAGTAATATTCTGTGTGTGTATATGTGTTTACACCACATCTTTTTTTTTTAAGATTTTATTTATTTGAGAAAAAGAGAGCACAAGCAGGGGGAGGGGCAAAGGGAGAGGGACCCTACATGAGGCTCCATCCCAGGACCCCAAGATCATGACCTGAGCTGAAGTCAGATACTTAACCGACTGAGCCACCCAGGTGCCCCCCACGTCTTCTTTATCTATCCATCAGTCAATGGACATTTGGGCTCTTTCCATAATTTGGCTATTGTAGATAGTGCTGCTATAAACACTGGGGTGCAGGTGCCCCTTTGAATCAGCATTTTTGTATCCTTTGGATAAATGCCTACTAGTGCAATTGCTAGGCCGTAGGGTAGCTCTATTTTCAACTTTTTGAGGAACCTCCATACTGTTTTCCAGAGTGGCTGTGCCAGCTTGCATTCCCGCCAACAGTGTAGGAGGGTTCTCACAAGGAGGCCTCTTCACACACAGATCTGTCCCCGGGTTCCAGTCCCTGTTCCCTCCCTCGCCCCCAGAGGCCTAGTTTCAGCAAACTGTGCCCCTCTGTCACTAGCCAAAGGCTTTAGGCCATCTTTTGTGGCTTCCCGACACTCTGCCGACCTCTTTATGAAGAGTGCCCTTATTTATATAGTGTGTCAGACAAAAAGAGAAAAAGCACTCCCACCAGCAGAACGGCCTTGGTAAGTAAAAATCCCAGCATATTGATGAAATCATTAATACTGCTACTCACCTTTGGCAGAGGGCCAGGGTCAGAGAGAAATTAGCTGCTTGCCTTAAAAAAGGAGGAAAACAATATATTCAGTACGAAGTACTGAGACCAGGGGGATGAAAGACAAGGAGGGGGATGTTCAAGGAGGAGGCACGAGAGCCATCTCCCCCCACCCCCCACACACTGTTGTGTGCTCTGTCTTCTGGCCCAGCATGCTCCTCAGAGGCCCACCCTCCCCTTCCTTTCAAGAGTCAGCCAGCAGGGCACTTAAGCCCCCAGCACACATTCTGCCAAACTTGCTCCCTCCCTCCCTGAACTGATCCCTCTCAAAATGTGGTGTTGTGACTCTGTTTACTTGTCTTGAGTCTCTACCTGGGCCTCTCTGAGGGCAGGAACTGGGTCTCCTATCTCTGCCTCCCCATACTCAGCCTGCTGCTTGGCCCAGAGCTGACTCTCAAGAGTTTTCTAATGAACAACATGGATGAATAAAGCCAAGTTCGCACAAATGAGGATGGAGCCATCCCAGCCCTCCTTCCTGGAGGCCTTCCTCAGATACACTCTGGGTGTATGGGCAAAAGCTGTGGTTGAATGGAAATAATCCTCCACACCTCCCCCCACCACCACCACCATGAACCTAGTCATTTCTAGTTCTGGCTATCCTCTGTACCTCACTGACAGATCCATTTTATAAACCCCTGGGCCTCGGCTTTATTATCTGCAAAATGGGCATAATCGTCGCACCCACCATATAGCCTTGTTGTGAGGAGTCAGTAGGTCGGTATCTTCAGAGTATTAAAACAGTACCTAGTGTGTAGGCTCAGTAAATAAGATGATGTTTTCTGACCATTCCACATTTAAGAGCAACGAATCACAATTTATTAAATTACACCTAACAATTTGCAAAGCATGTTCACACAGCTGCGCATTCATTTCTTCGGCCAACAGTCTTGCCCCCAACAAGAATCCAGTTCGAGCAGAGGAAAGAGAAGCACTTTATGCTTCTACCCACTCTGCATCACCGTGGCTCCTTTTGTAGCCAAGAAAACGGGAGCCAGCTGGGCCTGAAGCAACAATCTGGCCTTTTATTATTGGAATTAAAGGGCAATTGGAATCACTCTGGAGCTTTCCCAGCAGAGGATACGACCCTTGAAGGCAGATGTTTCAGGCTGCTGTGGGCCCCTCTTTTCTTGTGGAAGGCAGAGCAACTCCATCCTTAATGTGCACCTGAACCTCCCAAGATCTTGGAAAATGCAGATCGTGACTCAGGCGGTCTGGGGTGAGGACCCAAACTCTGAATTTCGAACAATCTCCCAAGTTGGTGCCAATGTTGCTAATCTGCAGCTAGGGCAACCGACTGGCCCAAGTCCTGGGACTCTCCCAGTTTTAGCATTGAAACTCAGCACATCCGAGGGACGTTTAGACCTGGAAAACCAGGACAGTTGGTCACTGTGTCCACAGAGCACACTTTGAGTAAGAAGGACGTAGCCAGCTGAGTTTGTGCTGAGCTTTGCAGCCCCTCACTCCAGAGTCCCTGGAATAATCCTCTTGACCTGATAAAGAATTGTGACTCTTTAATCTCTAGAAATGACAGGGTGGCTGCTCATTTTGTGGGGCCTCAAGCTTATGTAATCTTAGTGGCTCTTTTAAGGAAAAAAAAAAGCACAAAAATATCTTTGTTTTGCAAAATTTGCAAAACACATAACCATGAAAATAGAGTAAATTCCCTTCTGTCTCTTTGGTCTCTGGCCAAACAGGTGCTCACTTCCTTCTGAGAGAATGATGTTGGCCTCTCAATGGCCAATTCTAAGAGAGACCACCAGGTGGCAGTAGATTTACACAGCCCTCTTCAACCCCTGCCAGGCCCCCACCCATCTCCAGAAATTTCTAAATCTTCCTCCAGATGGCCTAGCCAGCTAATCCAACAAATTAATCTGTGCTGTGATAATGGGCAAAAGAGTTCATGTGCTTCTCTCTAAATAGCATATTTTCCATTTAATGGAAATGCTAAGAGATTGTTTTTAAAACCAAATAAAGGGTGCTAATAGGTGAGTTCCAGGCACAGTGTTGGATACACATCACTATGGAAATGTTTTTAATCAGGGAGACCTTTCTGTGCTCAGCAGATTGCATCTATGGAGGAGTTCTAGGTCTTATCACCTGTTCCCCCACCCCAGTATAGAGCTTAGTGTTTAGGCACCAGTTTGGGAGTTCAACTGCCTGGGTAGTGAGTACTACCACTTACTGAGGGTCATGTTGAGTAAGGACCTTAACATCTCTGTGCCTCAGTTTCCTGATCTGTGAAATAGGAGTGATAATACTGATTTCACATAATAGTTGTGGGGATTAGGTAAAATAATGTATATAAAGCACCCCCAAAAATTTGCATACAGAGGGCACTCAATAAGCCGCTATCATCTTCATCACCCCATGCCTTGCCTGCCTTCTGCAAACCAAATTCTCCATCCTTCCTCCAACCTCAACCCCCTACCAGCTGCCTCAAGAGAACAGAGGGAGGGTTGAGCCCCCAGCATGGTAATAACCAGGCCAGTTCTGGGCACAGCATTCTCCAGACCCATGATCTCCTCGGAAGTTGGGGCTCAGCCCTAGAGACACTGAAGCACACAAAGCAGGAGGGGCACTGGCTGGGCCAGAACTCCAGATAGCCCAGCCCAGCACTTTTCCAGGAGGTAACTCTCCAAGTATCGCCTTGTGGGTACCAGGAGCCCAACATCTGCCGATGAGCCTGGCATGTGAGGGCAGATGGATAAGGGGGTCGTCTGGCAGAGCCGGACTCCCTCCTAGGTCCTAGGAGGACACTGCTCGACACGGAGGGACTCATCGTGGAGCAGAGGCTTCATCTGCTGTGCATCTTCATCTTCCTGTTGGATCTGGGAAGCTCTCTTTGCCTCCTCTCCCCACATCCCCTCTCTGGTTACAGTCACCTTCAGTCAGCTACACTAAAAGGCAAAAGGGTGAATGGTTATCAAACTTTGCTGCATATTAGAACCACCAGAGGAGCTTTTGCAATCTGATTCCCAGATGTACAATCTAAATCCCAAACCAATGAAATCAGAATCTTTTGAGACTGAGACCCAAATTTCAGAAATAATTCCAATATGAAGGACCTGGCTGGGTGAGTCAAAAGAGTGTGCAACGCTTGATCTCGGGGTCATGGGTTCCAGCTCCATGTTGGGCGGAGAGAGAGAGAGAGAGAGAAAGAGAAAGAGAGAGAGAGAGAGAGAGAATAATTCCAATGTACAGCAAGTTTGAGAACTAGTATTCTAGAGTGGTGTTTCTCCAGCCTCAATGTGCATTCAAGTCACCTGAAGAGTTTGTTAAAATGGACATTCTAATCCAGTAGGTCTAGGGTAGACCCTGAAATTCTGTTTCTATCAAGCTCCAGATGATACAAATGCTGCTGGTACCTAGCACAATTTTTTTTTTTTTTTTTAGATTTTATTTATTTATTTTGACAGAGAGAGACCATGAGAGAGGGAACACAAGCAGGGGGAGTGGGAGAGGGAGAAGCAGGCTTCCTGCCGAGCAGGGAGCCCAACGTGGGGCTCGATCCCAGGGTCCTGGGATCTTGACCTGAGACGAAGGCAGACGCTTAAGGACTGAGCCACCCAGGCGCCCCCCTAGCACAAATTTTGAGTAGTAAGGTTGTAGAACTGTGCTTCCCAAACTTGGCATGTATCAGAATCATCTGGAGGGCTTGTTAAAATAGTCACAGTTTCAGATTCAGTAGATCTGGAGTAGGGCCCCAGGTATCACTGGTGCTGTGGGCACATGAGCCCACTTTGAGCCGCAGGGCTAGAGAGCATGGAACAGAGGCTTTGGAATCAGGCTGCCCGGGGCCCTGTTTCTGGCTTCACACCTTGCTAGATCTGCAATATTGCCAGTTACTTAACGTTTCTGAATTGTCATTTCATCACCCATAAAGTGGCCATTATTGGGTAAGATTAATTGAGCTAATATGAAACACCTACCAGACTTCCCAGTGTGCTGGTCCTCCAACTTGATTGCAAATTTAAATGACCTGAGGAGCTTTAAAATAAATCACTCCATGGTTGTTGATTTAATTGGACTGGGGTACTGAGCATCAGGATTTTTTTTTTTAAGCACTCAGGTGTCCCCCAAACACAAGAATCAGATTGCTGGGCAACACTCCCTGAGTCTCCGACTCAGTATGTCTAGGGTAGGGCTGAGAATTGGCATTCCTAACAAGTTCCTAGGTGTCAGTACTATGCTCTGGGGATTACACACCTATCAGCATAGGGCCAGGGTGCCTGGCGGGCTCAGTCAGTAGAGCATGTAATTCTGGATCTCTCGGTTGTAAGTTCAAGCCCTACGATGGGCATAGAGATTACTTAAAAATAAAATCTTTTTTAAAAAAATGCACAGAGTAGGGTTAGGTTAAAGAATAAGCTTGGGGGGCGCCTGGGTGGCTCAGGTGGTTAAGCGACTGCCTTCAGCTCAGGTCATGATCCTGGAGTCCCAGGATCGAGTCCCGCATCGGGCTCCCTCCTCGGCAGGGAGCCTGCTTCTCCCTCTGACCCTCCCCCTCTCATGCTCTCTCATTCTCACTCTCAAATAAATAAATAAAATCTTTAAAAGGGGAAAAAAAAAAAAGAATAAGCTTGGTTTGTCCACGTGCAAACAGTAGCTATGGAGAGAGCATCACCAGCTGTCCCCCCTCGGTCCGCCTGGGAGTGAGGGAGAACCTCTTTCTAAGGAGGGCAGGAGGGACCCGCATTGTTCCTCCAGACACTGAGCTCAAATGTGGCATGGGGGTAAGAGCGGTGGCCTTGGCCTGGGTGACTGGGAGCCCAGAAACAAGATGTGTGGGTGGAAGCCACAAGGAAACCTTTGGGCTCAACACAAGAACTTTTTAACCTTGAGAACTGCTGTCTGGAAAGGGCACCAGCTTCCTCTTTTGGCGGTGAGTTCCCTGGCATGGGAGGTAGTCCGGCAGAGCTGCGGCCTACGGGAAAGCTAGAGGTACTTGCAGGGGAAGATCTCTGCGGGCCTTTGAAGTCTGACATTGCACATCCCTGCAGCCTCCCCTCAGCCTTACTCCAGAAGCTTTCTGTTTATTTGGGGAAGTGACCGGCTGGAGCTTTCCGGACAGACCGGCTTTTCCCCTTGGTGTTTTCCTTTGCCTATCAGCTAGCGGTTTACTTTCCCAGGGCAAACAGGAAAGCGCCTGCGCTTAGCAAAGCCAGGTGGGGGAGCCTGCTGGGCGGGTAGCAGGTGTCGCCTCCTGAGTGCACTGCGGCCAGGGATGAGCCCTTGGGGCCTTACACGCGCTGCGGGCTAACCGGTTGGGGCCGGGGCGGGGGGGGGGGGGTGCGGAGAGGGGGGCCAAACCCTGCCCAGGGCAAGAAGAGAAGGGTCCAGCCCACACCGCCGGCCGCATCAGAGCACCAAGAGAACACCAAGTCTTTATTACAGGAATTCCTATGAAACAGCTCCAAGAAAAAAACCCACACAGAGGAGAAAAAACGACTAACAAAGCAACACACACAGACTTGGGGCTGGGGCGTCCCCGCCATGCGCTGGGAGGGGTCCGGGCCACGGCCCGGAGGCCTCTCCTCTGCCCCTGGGGCCGGACCGTCTGGAGCTCGGCCTGGCGGCCCGGGGGCTCCTCGGGGGCGGGGGACGGGGAAGCACGGGGTCGGATCGCGGGGAGCAGCGGAGGGCGGGCGGCCCCGCGCCAGCGCCCCAGGCCCCGCGCGGCCGCCACACTTGGTCGGGCTCCGCGGCGGCGCGTCCCGGCCCCCCACCCCCGGGGGCCGCCCCTCCGCCGCGCGCGCCGGGGAAGCGGGGCCTCGGCGTGGGCCCGGGCCTCAGCGGGACGAGGGGCCACGGCGCCCGCCACGCCCTCATTATCTCGGGGTGACGGCCGGGCTCCCGCTCCCAGCCCCCCCCAACCCGCGCTTGGGCTGGGCTGGTTCCCCGCTGCTGGGGGCGCGGAGGAGGGGACCCCCTCGTGCCGGCCCAGGCTCCCCGGCGCTCCTCCGGAGAGGTCAGCGCGCTCCCGTCCCGGAGGCTGGCCGCAGAGACCGGGCCAGCCGCCTCCCGCCGGCAGTGCTTGGTGCCCGCTAAGGCTTGTGGAAGCCGAGCGCGCCTCCTCACGTCATTCCCCTTCTCGTTCTCGGCAAGAGGCACCCAGCAAGCCCGTCCGCCCCAGGCGCCCCCACCGGGGCTGGCAGCCTCATCTCCTCGCCCCTCAGTCCTGCACTTTCTCAAGGGTCACCTCAGAACCTGCTGCTGCCCACCCTTAGTGACAGCAGGACTTCTACTCAGAGCCCCCCCACCCCACCCCACCCCCGGGAGCCCCCACTGTTGAGTGACTGCAGGGTCCCATCCAGAACTGCCTTTTGTCTTCTGCCACAGTCAAGAACACTCCTGGCTAGCCAGCCTCCTCCAGCTCCGGGGTGGCCCCCTCCCCATCCCTGCTGGGGGCCATGCCAACCCCTAACAGAGGCAGCTGGTGGGGCCCTGGCAGGGTGGTCGGTCAGGAGCTAACTCCACAGTGGCCCATCACTCCTCAGAGGGAGCCTGAGTGACTGCCCGGTGCTCTCCCACCCAGGGCTCTGTCCAGGGCTTGTACCAAGGGTCTGCAGCCCTGCGGGGGGAAGGCTGAGATGCAGGAAGCCATGGGAATAAAGGGCCCAAGGTGCCCAGAAGGGAGCTGGGGATGGGGACAGGGGTCAGGCAGTGTCTGTGACCCAGGAGAGATGGGGAAAGGGGAGGGGCAGGGGCTCCACCTTCAGGGGCTTCACCATCCTGCCCTTTTGGGTACTCCAACCTTTGCCTTTTTTCTGGGATTTTTTTAAGGTGGCGGAGGTGGGGACAGTGGGGGGGCGGGGAACGGTGGTGGGAGTTCCTGCACTTCCACTCATTGCCCATAGAACAGCCTGGCTACAAAAGGGGCTAGGACGGGCAGCTGCCCCCGGGGCCCCAGGTCCTTCCTCCAATCACAGCACAAAACTCCAAAGTTCTAAGTCCCCTGGAAAGTGGCAGTGACAGTGGCAGTGGCGGGGCTGGACGTGGCTGAAGAATCACCAGGCCTCAGTCCTCGGCGCCATCTGTCCGGCGGCAGCTGGGCCCTTCCGCCGGGGGCCGGTTTGGCTCTCCGGCTGCCCCCACCAGGTCAGACCATCTCCGGCAAGGAGGAAGCACTGGCATCTGCTGGGGAAAAGAGAGGGAAGAAGCCTTTTTCAATAGAGCCCAGTGGTCTTTCCTTGTCAGCAGTCCCTTTAGAGATGGTTTTAGGCAGAAGGTCCCAAAGACAGGAGCCCTCTCCTTCTTCCAGGGACGCTATGCCAGCCTTGGAACTCTGCCCGAGGTCATGTCCCGCCCCCCCACATCCAAGCTCCAGGAACAGCAGGAGCAGGGCCTCTGGCAGCCAGAGCTGGAGTTGGGGGCTGAAGTCCAGGCGGAAGCAAGCATATAGGGAGGGCTCAGAGGTGGGGATACAGCAGCAGCTCAGAGGGGCTTCACCAAGGGGACCCGTAGGGGCAGAAAATAAATTAGGGTCCTAATTTGGTAGGCCCCACACACCAGGCCGAGGAGTTTATAAGCCTCTACTAGGAGGGCTCACTCCAAGAGCAAGGGAGAAAGGGCAGAAGAGTGGTGTCCTGGGGACGGGTGAACAGAGTCAGGGCCATGAACCACACTAGCAGCTGCGAACCAGGCGATGCGAGTCTACCAGCGCAGGGTGGAAGGGAGAGGAGAAATGAAATGGGCAAGTCCGGAGAAGATGCTGTCTGGCTTCCAATGACTTCAGGCCCAGGGCTGGAAAGATGGTCGTGGGCACAGCTGGGATGCAGAGTGGATGCGGAGGACTGCCTGAGAGGGAGGGTCAGAGGGAGGGGCCCACTGCACAGGGGTCTTGCTGTTGCTAGGAAGGAGGGTGGTGAACTGCCAGAGAGTGGGAGCGAGAGGGTCAAGGGCAGAGCTCCCGGGAGAGCTGGGACTGTGGCACTGGGAGGAGCCCCGGGAGCAGCTCGGAGGATAAACAGCAGATAGGAAGAAGGCCCAGGACTCCTGGGCCACAGGGGTGGGCGGGGAGCAGTTTCAAGAAGGACAGTGGGCATGGCATGCAGAAGGGAGCACCAGAGGATGCAGAACGGAAGGACCTGGCCCTGGGGTGACCTTCCTGCATCAATCCGGGGATGGTGGGAGGGCTGCCAACCTGCAATGGGTGAAAGACGATGCCATTTTTTCCCAAGTTGGGCAATGAAGGAAAATAGTGAAACCTCTTGGTTTTGAAGATGGGGAGGAGGAGGAGGGTGTAGACTTGAGGAAGGAGCTAGAAAGGGAAAAGCTGGACGACTCAGGAGAGAAGGAATGATGGCAAGGTCCTGATGTGTGGGCGGCTTTGGCGCAGACACGTTTTCCTGGGGGAGAGGGGCGGTGGAAAGGGGAGGGAATGGCAGCAACCGAGTGGGAGTGGGGGCCTTCACCCCAGCCGGCTGTATGGGGGCATCATGGGCCAGTGGGGATCGCGGGTGCAGCTCCGTGCCTGAGGACGGCCCAGCTTCGGCATCCTGGGGGATGTGGGAGGCAGTCAGCTAGGTGTGAAGGCCAGCCGCCCAGGCTGGTTGATCCACCTCCACGACAACTATCCCGAGGGCAGCAGCTAGCCATTTCTTCATAGTGTGAGACAGGGCCACACCTACCACACCGTCCGCTGGGCAGGGGAAAGCCCTGTAGATGCTGGCCCCTGGGACCAGGACAGCAGCTTGGGGAAGGGTGGGCAGGTTGCCTCCTGATGTGGAGGGGGGCCGGAACAGGGAACAGGTTCTACTGAGCCCCGGAGGGGCTGCTGACATTCCCTGCTTCGCCCCCAGGGATGCACAGAAGAGAAGGAGAAGCCCGAGGGCCCACGGCTCCAGCCAGCAACAGAGCTGCCTGGAGGGAGACTGTTTCTTCATGTGGTTGGGTCAGATCCTACACCACCCAACCCAAGCAGGCAATGGGACAGTTCTGTGTGTGCACGGCTGTGGGGAGGCCACTTCAAGTTTTCCTAAGTCATCCCCTCACTGTGCAGTATATGTCCTGTCTTTCAAATGGGCTGTCAACTCTCAAGGTCAAAGCTGACTTTTATCCCCTTGTTCCCAGGATCTGGCACAGGCAAGTGTGATTACTTTGCTAAATGAATAACCAAAAAAAATAAGGAAACGCAAAAGGCTGGTTTTCATGCAGAAGACCATGTCCCCTGCCACAATGACAAGGGAAGAAAACCCGGATCTGTGCCATCCAGTTGCCTGAGCCCAATGCCTCTGGATCCCTGGGAAAACCCCCGGGGTACGGGGCATGGCAGGCTCCAGGCCTTACCTCTTACTGTCCTTCCCTTAGGGCTTCCTCCACCTTGGGTGCCTCGTGTCGCCGTCCCCGGAAGTCTTCATCTGAAAAGCAGAGGGAAGTTGCCTCATGTTCCACCATGCAGGGCCTCATCAGGCGTGCCCCTGGGCTGGGCAAGAGCTGACCCAACACTCTCCATCCCCTTTGTTTGCTGGGGCACATGCTGAACCTGGGGTAGGGTGGGGTGGGGACATGTGGGTGTGCTGAGAGGCACCAGGGCACAGTGTGGGGTTAGGACACCTGGCTGCTGGCCTGGCTCCGTCACTGAGCTCGGACGAGTTCTTCCCTCAGCTTCCCCATCTGTAGAATGGGTGGGGAAGTGGTACCCTCCACATGGCCTCTAAGACCCTCCTAGCCCTTGTTTCTGGATGTCTCCTGACCACCAAAGGGCCCCTCTGCTCTGAGGCACGAGGATCAGCTTCAGCTATGGGCCTGCTAGGGTCTAAGGCAGTGTCTTCTGGCCCACATGGCCTTTGGGAGGAACTGGATGAATGCTGAAAGGCCTCTGGGCCCAGGGACTGAAACTGTGTAGCGCTTGGTTGTCCAGGTGAGGCCCCTCCACGTGGGTAGGCCTGACTGCCCCCTCCCACCCCAGAGAAGAGACCCAGAAACAGCACCTGACACTTTGTGCTCCAGGGAGAGATCTAGGTGGAGGTACAGCTGGGGCCCCCTTTTGGGAGTGGAAGGAAGGGAGAGGCAATATGAACCAAGTGGGAAGACCCATTTCTTCGGGTCACCTGCCCACCTACCCACGATGTGTCCCCCAGGTTGGGTCCACCCACAAAACACCCGGGCCCTTCTCTTGGGAGGGTCACCGATGACAAGCAACTTAGAGCTCAAGCTCCCCTGCCCTCCTGGCCTCACCACAAGTGTGGCCCTCCACGTCGTCCAGGAGATTAGCCGTTGACCCCGCAGCTCCCAGCCTGCCAGGCCATTCAGGAAAACGGTCTCGGGGATGGGTGGGCACTGCCATCCTCCTCCTACTTCTACCAGTCCCTGTCCCTGGCCTCTACCACCCACTCCCAGCTCAGGAGGCTTCTAGCATTATCCCCCAACCCTCCCCAAAGCCTCCTTTCCTCGGGATCAGGTGAACAGCCAGGTCCTGACTTTCTCACCCAGCTCCCATCTCTGGGCATGGAGAAGGGAGTTCCTCCCTGTTCCCCTCTGGCTGTTCAGCTTCTAATATCCTGGGCCCCTGTAACAAGCATGGGTAGGAGTCTGGGTTAAAAGGTGGAGAACCTTATTTTTACTCAAGAAATGAAAGCAAGAAGGCAGGTCCCACGTGCTTGAAATGGGGAGGCAGCAAGATCTATGGATCAATTCAACTCAAACTAGTGAGAGGTTTGCCGATTTCATTGGAAGAACCACGTCTTCTACCAAGAGTAGATGAGCCCAGCCAGAAAGTGAAGATGTCGTGGGACAACTCGGGAGCCCACAGAAGGGAGTGGGAGACGCTGGCCTGCTCCCCAGCCGGGTCATGCGGCTCCAGGCTGGGCGGTGGGCTGGCCTCGGGGCGCACGGAGGAGAGGAGGCAGGTGGCTGCAGAGCCCGTCCCAGCCCCAGCCCCTGGGGAGGGAGCAGCCTCGAGAGTCGGGCCAGGGGGTCAGCGCCCTCAGCACCCACGCCCCTGCCCTGCGCCAGGCCGGAAAGGATACGACTGGTGCTTGGACAAGTGTTTCCTCTTTGACTTCCTCATCCTGGTCTTCTCGGAGAAGGCCCTGGCCAGCTCGAACAGCTTCCTCCGGGTGGCTGGGGCAGAGAGACCCGTGAGCCGCAGCTGCAGGGCTGGCCCGCGGTCGGGGCAGGCGGCGGGGCGACAGGAATGCAGCGGGGAGGGGAGCGCCCCGCCCCCCGCCCCCCCAGCAGGGGGGCTGCCATCTGGGGCCGGCCTGCAGGGGCAGCATAGGCCACCGAGAGCAGGGCCGGCCGGGCAGGCAGCCCGAGATCCGGGTATTCCTGCCCCAGCAGCGACAGACAGCAACGCGTCCTGGCTGTCTTTCCCGCCGCCTCCCCCGCCCCCCTCGCCACCTCCAGAGCTGGTTCTGGGATTTCCATGACTAATCCGAGATTTTCCCTGAAATGGAGCCTGGAAGGATGGCAGCCTCATTCACACATGGTTGTGTGGTAGGGCGGGGAGGAGGAAGGGTAGGTGCGGCCCGGCTGGCAGGACTTTGTGGGAAGAGGTCACAAACCCTCGGGCCTCCTGCCCACAGAAAGTGGGCTTAGCACGGGCCTCCCCACTCATCAGGCCTGGCCAAGTCCCCTCAAGCCACAAAGGACGTGAACTCTAAAACGGGGGTGGGAGTGTGGGGGGGGGGGTGCAGCACATTATTATTTTTCTGCAGACAGCTGGCTCAAGAGGATTTAAAATTGAGTCTGTATTCAGACTTGGCTGCAGAGGGAAGTGAGGCAGGAAGGCGGAGGGAGCCAGCCTGCGATTAAAATGTCACTTTGGTTCACCCAGAGTCCGCTGTGTATTCAAAACTCCTGGTGGCTCCCTCCCTCCCATGAGGCCACAGGGCCCGTCTTAGAACAGATGGGGAGGGGGCATAGGCTGGACTCACATTTTCCCATGTGTTTCAACTTGTCCCTGAATAAGGCATCTTCAGACACAGCAGGATTGGTGTCACCGGCTCCTGAAAGGGGAAGACACCCCTGAGGGCCGGTTGAAGAGGGAGAGCAGCTGCCCAAGGCCCTCCCGGAGTAGGGGGGGTGGGAGAGTGGGCCAGGGCTGGCCCCACCAGGACAGGGGTTCGGCCCAACCTTTCCATCTGAGGAAGGGGGCAAAAGATCAGGCTTCTTCCCTAAAGACACTAAGGATTTGAGGAGTACTTCTTTCTCCACCGAGCCTTGCTTGGCTTCTTTGTGTCAAAAGCAGGGCCGTGGTATGGTCCGCTGTATGCATGGAGGGCCGGCTCACACCGGCTTCCAACTCTCTGCTTCTCTGACCAACTCCGAGTTCCATGAAGTCATGCTGGTAGCTTGGAATCAGTCATGGTGGGAGTATTTACATCATGAAGCCACCCGATGCTAAGCACTGGGGCTTCCCCTCCACCCTGAACTTGGCTGGTATATATTCATCAGCACGCAGTGACTGGCCTGCACCCCGACCCAGTGTGAGAGTTAATACGGGAATGGAAGGGAGGTGTGGGCACAGAGCAGGCCTTTGCCCATGACAGTTCCCTTCTCCTTCCTGCCTGGCTCAGCCCCTCTGATACTCCCTCCAGACATGAAGTTTCTGACTCATTTGACAGAGGAATGAGAATAAACCCAAATGGCCCACCTAGAGTCTCCCCGCTCACTCAGCGCCCACTTACATCTCTAGCCGCCCTTCTAAAGCCCCTGCTCCCCACCCTGCAACTCGGCTAATCCCAAGTCACCTTGCCTGCTAAGTCCCCTGTGAGTCATTATGATCCATCTCAGCAGCCCTAGTGTGTCTAGTTCACTCAGGATCAAGGATGAGAGACTATTGTTAAAACTCCCAGATGCACATCTGGTGGGGCCTAAGCTCCAAGCCTGTTGCTTATGAATCAGTTCCACGGGATTTTCTCTCTTTGAGCTGGGATCAGCTGAGCTCCCCGTCCTTCTGCTCCTCCACCCCACTCCACTACGTGATGTAAGGTCTGCTTCGGGCAAAAGCTGCCCCTGCTGCTACCTTCTCTGCGGTGAGCAGCCTAGTATGGATGGAAGCACTGGCCGGCTAGGGGCCACGAGGCACACACAGGGACACGGGGGCAGGGATCAAGTATGGAACCCAGGCCTTCTGGCCCTCTCTGCCCAGGTTCCCAGCTCCAGCTTAACCCTTGTTTGTGCATCCCAATAGGCTGCTGTCCATTCCTGGCCCTCCTTCAGTGGGTTAAGGCTCCTGGAGGGGCCTGGCCCTCTATTGAGGCAATTCTTGCTTCTCACCATCTTGAACGTGAAGCTCAAAATTCTCTTCCTCCAGCACTCGGGTGGGGCCTGGCCAGGGCAGATACAGCCTCAGCTAATGAATGAACAAACCCTGCCCTTCTCCTCACCGTGAGCAGCTGTGATCATCAGTAAGTATGTCCTCAGCTTTGCTGGTTTGTTCTAGCCATCCCTTGAATGTTTCTCCTGCATTCCCCAGAAGACCATAAGCTCCCCCAGGGCAGAGATCAAGCCTTGGAAGTCTCTGAGTCCTTCCTGAGCCCACCCACCATGGGACATGTGTGCGGTGGCATGTCCCCTTCTTGCCCATGCTCTAGGGGCTTTATGAGCAGTTCAGCCAGGCTTTAGCCAACCCCAAGGGGGCTCCAGCAGCTGCTGGATTGGCAAGAGTCCAGGGCTGCCAAGTGGAGGGGCCACGTCACTCGAAGGAGTGCGGTGGTGGGCTGGGTGGTGGGCTCAGACCCTGCCCCTCCAGCCTGTTTCCCCTCCCTATCCCCAAACTCCAAATATGCAAAGCACAAAGGGGGCCGGGGGGCGGGGGGGGCCGGCGTGAGCCTCTCTGCCCTCCAGGCCTCTCTCCCAGGAAGCAAGGTTACCTGGGGCAGGAGAAGGAAAGCCAAAGTCGTTTCCCACAGCCACGCTGCTGCTGGATTTGGATTTCTGGGACTCGTATTTCAAACGATCTGGAAAAGGATCACATTCCTGTCAGGACAGTGAGCTCTCTCCCAGTGGCACCCTGGGCCGAGATGCAGGAGGCTGTTGGAGGCCAAGCCCCCAAATCTCACATGACGCACACAAAATATGTGCACACGTGTCTCGCAGCTCTCCAAGAACCAGCTATACCATAGAAACTACGGCCTGACAGGCACCTGGAACGGTAGAACATCACACTTAGAAGGACCCTGAGAGATCACACAGTCCAATCCTTCATTTAAAAGGAAAGGCCCTGGGGCACCCAGGTGGCTCAGTCGGTTCAGCATCTGACTCTTTCCACTAGGGTCATGATCTCGGGGTTGTGGGATTGAGCCCCATGTCCGGGCTCCATGCTTGGCAGGGAGTCTGCTTGGTATTCTCTCCCTCTCCCTTTGTTCCCTCCCCTGCACTCTCTCTCAAATAAATAAATAATCTTTAAAAAATAAAATAAAATAAGGGGCGCCTGGGTGGCTCAGTCGGTTAAGCATCTGCCTTCGGCTCAGGTCATGATCTTAAGGTTCTGGGATCGAGCTCCATGTGGGGCTCCCTGCTCGGCAGGGAGTCTGCTTCTCCCTCTGCCCCTCCCCCCTGCTCCTGCTCATTCTCTCTGTGCTGCAGAGCTGGGGCCAGCCTTCTCCCTGCACACCTTATTCTTCCCCAGCTATACACCATCAGTCGCATACACACACATACACACTCCCACCGGGACCCTCACTGTATCCCCCCACCCAACACACTCCCACCCTGAAGGGGAAAGGCAGCCAGGCTGGGGAGTAAGGTCCCCAGCCAAAGACAACCGAAACTGCCACAACACCTTAGAGCCCCTGTCCTGACATCCTCTGCTCGGGGAGGCACCCACGGACCCAGCTCCAGACACGTCGGGGCAAGGCCAGTGCCTGGCACACAGCAGATGTGCCGGGGCAAAGGAGAGGGCCCACGAAGGCACACCTGTCTTCCTCTGGGTCCCAGGGGAGGGAGAAGGGTTGGCTGGTGACTCGTGTCCCCGCTGGCAGAATTCTGGGGTTCCCACAGGGTAACTTGGTGGGGGCCGTGTATCAACAGGACCGAGGCCACGCTGGCCTCCAGCTCAGTGCCTCTTCTGAGCCCCAAGGCTGAAGCCGACCCCAGCTCCCTTCCCCAGCCACAAAGGAGTGGCCGAAGTGCCCCCACCCAGGGCACCACCTCTCTCCAGGGCCAGGAGGAAGTCCCGGTTGCGCTGCAGCTCCTTCATGAACTCCTCGTTCTGCAGGAAGAGCGCAATCCTCTCGTCCTCCAGGTACTGCTTCCAGCGGTTTTCCTGGTCCCGGGCGCCGGGTCCAGCCACAGGGGGCAGGCCTCCCTCTCTGCTCCTGGGCTTGGAGCCCCCGGGGTTACCCTGAGGAGGGGAGCAAGCGAGTTGAATGGCTGCTCACCAGGGCACGTGCGGCACAAACATCCCTGCATATCTGGGTGCACATGTGTCCTTTCCCAGGATCCTCCAGCCGCGCCCTGGGGCCTGCACCTGCTATCGGGCTCTGGTGGTCAGCCTCAATCCAACTCAGCAGGCCAGAGCCCTCTCTGCTGGGGAAGCAGTAGGGCTTAAAAACGATGCTTCCTCCCCCTTGGACCACCCCAGCCCTCATCTACAACCTGAACAGTCCTGGAAAGTGATCTGCAAGCCGCGCAAAACCTTGGCTAGCGCCACATGGAGGCCCAAACTCAAAACTCTCCCTGTCCTAGCTGTCTCGGGGCGAGGCCCCCTTCCCGCAAGGGCCCCTCAGGCCCTGCCCACATCAGGGGGAGAAGCTGCCCCTGGCTCTATCCCATGGGAGGGCGGGGAGGCGGCCGGCCCCTCTGCCTTTGGCTGCCCCTGTGCCCGCCTCCCTCCAGCCTGGGGTGATGGCTCTAGCCACAGACTCCTCCGGGCTGTCCCCTTCCCTGGGTGGAACAGGAAACCTCCAGGCCCAGACAGGAAACGAGGCTTTCGGTTCAGCATTCTTTCCCTGCGAACCCAGGGCAACAGAAATAGCCCGGCGCGGGCTTAAACATCAGGAAGTGAAACGGGCTGGCACAAACTGGGGCCAAGCAGAGATGCCGCACAGGCAGCCGGGGGCTTCCCCCATTACCTGTATGCTGTCCAGCTGCTGGGGCAGGATGCGGAGAAAGTCCTCGGGGAGGTTGCCCAGCAGGGGTGGGTTCCAGTTACGATAGCGCCTCTGGCTCGACACGGGTCCAGAGCCCAGCACATCGATGCTGGGGGGTGAAAGGTAACAACGAAGAGGGAACAGTCAGGCCCAAACTCAGGAGTCGCGACCCATCACACCAGGATCCTGCTCAGAAGGGCATTTCTGCTCTGAAGCTTCCCGCGGCCTCCTCGGCCTCCAGGACAAAGGCCCAGCGCTCTCTCTCATCTTCCCAATCAGGCCTCTGCTAACCTCAGCCTCTGGCCGCAGGGCCCGGCTCCTCCAGCCCCAGGACAGTCACTGCTCTCCGGCTACTGCGGGCCCTCAAGGTCTCTAGGCCTAGAGCCCTCAGTGTTCATGGCGCTCGAGCTGGCTGTCATGGGTTTACGTGCAGATGTTTACGAATGTCCTCTAAAGACAGCAGGCGTGTCCCTAGCGCCCAGCACAGTGCGAGCTCGCGGCTGCTGAGGAACAGGTGCGCTCCCCACGACCAGACCCAGCAGCCGCCAAGCCCGGCCTGCTCGAATGTTGGTTTGCTGGGGTGGGGGGACATGGGGATGGCGGGACCCCTACAGAGTAGAGCAGATCCAGGCTCTAGTTCCAGCTCAGTCACAGCCAGCAGGGTGGTCCTGGGCAAGACCCTGCTCCCCTCTGGGTCGGAGCTTCCTCATGGAAAAACCCTCTCGCTGCCGAGGTGGGCGGGAGCCCCTCGTGAGGCTGTGTCTCGGGCACTGAAGGTGGGGATGGAAAGTTTCCTGTTGCAAGGGGTGCTCAGGAGCAGCTCTTCATAAGCAAGGTGCCTGGCCGGAGGTCCGTCGGCCACAGGCAGAGGCCACCGGGGCGGGGGGGGGGGGCCAGGGACAGGAAGAGAAGTGGTGGCAGGAGCCCTCCCTGACCCCCAGGCCCCCGCCCTGCCATCGGGGCCAGGCCGGGAGCTCCCCACAGCGCCTCAGCAGCCTGAAGCGTGGCAACCCCAGGACACGTGTTCCGCTGAATCAGGGAAATGACACACACAGAAGGCAGCGGGGCCGGGGGCGGCGGGCCTGCCGCTCTCGCCTGGCTTTGATTTGTCTCCAGCTCCAGGAATCCCGCCCGCCCCCTCACTGGAGGGGAGCTTTTCCGGGCTGCCGCTGACTGTGGAAATAACTTCCTTTCCTTTTCTATTTTGGGCGGGTGGCCTGGCAGGGCGAGGGGGGGCGGGGGCGGCGGCAGACGGGGATAACAAGCTGCTAAGTGCACGGTGGGAGCCAGGGGAAGCCGCCCGCCTCGTCCACCCTCCCGGGGCACAGGTGAGGGAAGGCTCCAGAAGAGCCTGCATCGTAAACCCAACCGGGACTCTGTGAGTCCTAGGCAGATCTCTCTCCACATCACTCTGCCGCCTTCTGTCACTGTTGGAGGCTTCACTTCTCCCGAGGGCCGAAGGCGGGGGAGAGGGTGCCCCCTCTCTTAGGGACTCGGGGACCACCCGTGGCTGGCCCCAGCACAGAGAATTCCTCTCCAGCGTCTTCCCCTAGGACCCGGGTACCCACTCCAACTCAACCACACGTGGAGCCACCTGGGAAAAGTGCGGAGGGAGAACCCCAGAGCTGCACTGGGAGCCCTCTAGCCATTTGTTACTGAGCCCAAGAGGGGAGGGGGACAAGGAGCAGGGGACCCCTCCTCACCGTTCCCCTGGCGGCTGGGACCGTGGTCCCGAGGAAGGTCAGGCCCAGCCCCTCCCGGGCCCTGGCGCTGGCAAAGGCAGAGATGAGGTAAGCCGCAGCTGCAAGAGCCAGGGGGCCCTGAGCCTAGGCGGCCCAGGCAACTCCATTGTGGTCAGAAAGGAATGTCAGAAATGAGCTGAGAGGCAAATAAAAAACTTCCAAGGCTGTAATTTCAACGGGAAAACGGCAGGTGGCCTGTGCTGAGGGGTAGGTAGCTCTGGGTCTCAGAGACCTCCTTCATTCCAGAAAGAGAGGGAAGGGCAGGCTAGAGGAGGGGAAGGAGAGAGAAGGCTGGGAGGCTCTCCTGGCCCACAGCCTGGGCACCAGGACCCCCAAACTAAAACTTCACGCCCATCAGACCCCCGAGTTTACCCATGGCACATCAGACCCCAGAAGGATTTCAGACATGAACCTTCTAGGCAGGATTTTTGGTAAAGACTGGACACTGAGGCCCAGAGAGAGTTAGGCCCTGTCCAGGGACACACAGATTGTGCAGGCAAAACCTGGGCCCAGGGGTCCTGACTTTTCAGGCACTCACGCCTGGGGTCACCCTGGCTCTCTATTGTCTCAGCAGGGCAAGCTCCCAAACCCCACCCCATCTGCAGTCCCTGAGGTGGCAGAGGGGCCTGGCCCCCAGTGGCCAGGGATTCTAAAACACTAACCGGATCCTGTCACTCTCCAGCTTAAGCCTGCTGACTGCAGGATAAGGCCAAAGCTCCTCAGAGGACCCACAAGGCCCCCATGATCAGCTCGCCTCTCTAGCCTCATGGCCATTCCATTTCCTGGAGTTCCCCAAAGCTCCCAGATGGTTCCCCCTCTTCTGCCTCCTGGCCTTTGCACATGCTGTTTCCATTGCCTGAAATGCCCTCCTGTCCTCTGCTTCACTAGGACACCGTGTGGACATGAGTTCCTCATTCCTCTAGGCAGACTTACTTTCTTGCCCCCAGTTCTATGCCTCCCCCAGCCTCTGATGTCCTTAGGGGGGCAGGGTAGTACTATATTCATCAGTACTATATTCAACACACATCGTTCAGCACCTGCATACTGCAGGAGACTCAGTAAATGCTGGAAATGAATGTTCTGGATAGAGAGACTGAATGAGGCCCTGGAAATGGCCTACAGGTGGACCTGGCCTAGCAGGGCCATCCTGGGGCAAAGGGGCACATGCTCAGAGCCTGGCCCTGCTTCTTCTGAACACTGGCCTCTGAAAGAAGCCTCACCACTGGTCTCAATATTCCATGTTAGAGCTCAGAGGCCAGCTGCGCAGCCTGGGGTGGGAAGGAGCAGTCAACCACAGAGGACAGGTCTGATCCCTGCCTGGGACTATGCAAAGTGCTCCACGCATAGTGTCTCGTTGGATCCTCACAGCACAGTACTGCTGAGCTGGGGATTAGTATTCCCATTCCACAGGTGAGGGGAGCAAAGCTCAGAGAGGCTAAGTAGTGAGCCAGAGGTCACACAGCCAAGCACCTAAAGCATCAGAAGCTTGGCAGCTGAAAGAAGGGGGTAGGAGAGCACTTTTCTTTTTTCTGACTCTACAACTCAAGTTCTCTGTCCTGTATCCTCCCCAGGCCCAGCAAAGCCTTCATTGCCAGGTCAGGGCCCTGAATCTCAGGCCTCTTAAGCCTTGATCTAGAGCTGAGGTCACCCTGCCCCCAACGGTGGCTTCCATCCCCGAGCTGCACTGCGCCTGACCTCACAGCAGCTGTATACCCAGCCAGAGGGGCAGAGGGAGGATGGGGCCTGGGTACCCACGCCAGGTTCACCCTGGGATTCTCTCTCTTATGGCCTCAGTTTTCCCTTCTGAAAAACAGGCAGAACCACTTTGCCTAGTAGACACTGGAGGTTTTGCAAAAGCATCTTGGAATATTAAAAAAAAGTAATAATAAGTCAAAGGTAAACCACTTAGCCCTGGGCTCCATGACCCATGCCAGGCCGCAAGTCCTGCCAAGGCCTCACCCAGACCAACCCATGCCCTCCCTGCCTCCCACCCCACTGGAGCCTCCTGGTACCACCGGCAATAAAGGAAGGACCCCAGGTCTGCTCCTGTCTCTGACTTAAAACATTGTCCCCTCTGTCCTGTGACCTTCTAGGCCTCCATCAGCTCCCTGAGCTGCAATCGCAGAGAATTTTCTCATTAGGGAGGTGAGAGACACAGCAGCAAAGACATTGGTTTTGGAATCAGAATGGCCTGAGTTCACAGCTCAGCTCCATGGTGTTGGGAAAGTTATGAAACCTGGCTTAGGCTTAGTTTCCTCCTTTGTGAAATGGGGACGCGGACAGTGCTCTCACAAGCCGTTCGAGGATTAGAACGTGACAGTGTATACATAAAGAGCCTCACTGGTTCCCAGCACTTGGTAGCTGGTGGCTGGGGTCATTACCCCCTACCTGCACAGCAGAGGTCTCCACTACCACGGCCTGAGGTGCCCAAGACCCCCAGAAGGAAAGATCCACTGGGACTAGTCCCCTGTCCCATCATCTCCCCCCCAACTCCTCAGCACCCGGGCGCTGAGCCATTCGAAGGAACTACAGCTCTAGGACAGAGACGCCCGGGCTCCAGCAACCCTACTACAAACAGGAAGCACAGGAAAGCACCTCAGAGACCGTGGGACCCGGCTGGCAAGCGGCTTCGTGTAAACCCTCCAGACTACAGAGCCCCTCACCTGGAAGAAGTCTCCCAGGACCCTGCAGTCTAGTCCTCTGCCTCCACTTATCAAACTATCCCGGAAAAAAAGACTTACTTGCTCCCATTGCCTAAAAATCCCCGCAACATCCCTAGACCAGGGATGGCAAATAGGTATCCATCCCCTCAGTTACTGCTGACTGTCTGGGAGCTGCTGCGTGGAAGGGAACTCTGAGGTTCTGTCTCCACCGAGCGGGAAAGAGCCCAGTGGTCAATTAGCAATGTGTACCATGGGCTCAGCGGGGGAAGTGTCTACACACTCCCTGTGTTTACTTCTCCCACTTGCACGGGCCTTGACTGTGAGATCCCAGAAGGCAGCGCCACGCCTTATGTAACTCCGTGTCCCATTTCATGTTCCGCGCAGCACCTAGCCTAGAGTAGCAATTCAGCGAATGTTTGCCCTGGTGATCCTTCCCATGTGGAAGTTCTTCTTGGTATCTAGCTACAGTGTCTCTTGCTGCAGTAGAAGCCTGTTCTTGCTAGAATAATATCCTGAGGGGTCCAGCCAAGTTTTCCACGGCGTTTGTACTCAACCCCAGCCCCTGATCCCTTTCCCCCACCGCCCTGCGCTCCGAGAGGAGCGGGTTCTCACCGGGGAGGTGGCGTGGGGGGAGCCAGAGGGTAAGGCCTGTCGAACATGTGCATGTGATAGGCTGGCGGGGAGTAGACAGGTGGGGGTTCTTCATCAGAGCTGTCAGGCTCCAAAGTCCTTTCCAAGATCTAGAGCAGAAACAACAACAACAAAAGACATGTTAACAATCCTTCTCTGAATTTAAATAACATTCAGACGAAAGCCAGGGGGGCAAGGGTGCGTCGTAAGGGAATGCTGTGTCGCTGGGGGAGTGTAAACGGATAGGGCCACCCCTTTGCCAAACTGTTTGGTTTTCTGTAAAGCTGAACGCATGGCTGCCTCTGACCCTACAGTTCCAACATACTCAATGGGCATGAAAGCACACGTCCCCAAAAGAATGTTCAGAGCAGCATTATCCATCTGAGCAAGGTTTAAAAACAGGCCAAACAAATCACGGGGCTAGAAGTCAGAGCAGGAGGACCTCTGTGGGGGTGCAGCAGGCCGGGACGGGACACCAGGGGGATTCCAGGCTCTGTGGGTGTTTCCTGACCCTGGGCGCCGGGGCAACTTCATTGAGCCGCACACGTATGGTTCGCGTACTTTTCGGGACATGCGTTATTTCTGATAAATAACTTCAACATCATTCATACTCTCTCTCCAAGTACCTCCATATCAATGATCTCACCCGAAGTCAAACAACTTGGCAAGGTAGAATAGAGTTCGTTACTCCCATTTTATAGATAAGGAAACTGAGGCCCAGGCTAAGTGACATGGCAAAGCCGTATGCTCTCTTTAGAACTGAGTCTTCAACTTGGACATGGTCTCCACAGCAAGGATCCGTCCTTCAAGCACAATGCCCACACGCCCTGGTTGGATTCTTAGGGCAGACAGTGGCAAGGGGAGTACCCAGGATGCCTCTCCCTCCTGGATGATTCTCTTCATCCAGAAGCCAGATAGAGGGGCAGGCAAAAGCCAAGGGCTGGGCAAGGCCCAGAGTTCCTGCTCCGTGGACTGACCTGAATCCTTCCCCAGGGATCCACAGAGGAGTCTGGGGCAGGAGGCAGGAGGTGACCATCAACCAGGAGATCCCAGGTCGGACACACCCCCGCTGGCCTACACCTTAGCTTCCTGCTCCCTGTTCTCTGCTCCCCACTTCTGTTCCATCTCTTCCAAGACCAAAGAACACGGGAAGGGCTCAGAGGCTGTCAGTGGGCCCCAGAGTCCCCAGGCCCTGCATCTTAACCCCGAGTGAGTTTGCAGAAGTCACGCTAAACTGCTTCTGCAAGCCTGGGCGGGGCCAGGCGGCACTGGCACTTGTCCGCCCTGAGCCCACCCCGCCCGGGCACCCAGGGTCTCACAGGGACACGCTGGCAGGTGGGCAGGTGGGCAGCACACACACAAGTGCGTACATGCTCTCACACACACGGCCACACTTTGTGCATACACAGCCAGCCCGCCCGAGGAGGCCTCCCGCCCTGGAATGCACGAACGTTCTTTCCTTTCAGGCGGAAAGTATTTAAACAGATGCTTTTGCAGAAAAAGAAGAACGTAGCTGCTTTGTGGGCCACTGCTCTGCTTAGCCCAAATGTCCACAAGAAAAAAAAGAAAGAGAGAGAGAGAGAGGGAACACTGCAAGCTCCAGTCTAGCTCACTGGGGAACGTCGGGTGCCTGGCACAGGACAGGGGCTCAGCAACTGCCTGGCGCACCCAGAGAACAGTGTTGCTTCTGCTCCCAGCCCGCACTCCCTGTCCCTCAGACCCTGCTGCTCTGAGGGACAGGGTTCCCGACTGGGGCCTTGAGGCCAACTTCTCCTTCAGGGGCTGGTGTGAGGGACACGGGTGAGGAGGGGAGAGCTGTTTCCTGGGTGAGGAGGGGAGAGTTGGATTCTTAGGACGAAGGAAGCTGCTTGAGGTTTCCTAGGCCACGGCCTGTAGCCTCCCGCCTCCAGACTCAGGGAGATCAGGCCTCTGTGCAGCTGCCCCAGGAGGCCCCCCTCCCCTCACGGCCGCTCCTGCTCCTCAGAGCAGCCTCCTGGGCTGCAAGAACCAGACGTTCATCAGAAGCTCCTGGAGCAGAATGAGGAACCGCCAAGGAGGCAGGCAGCGGGCCAGGCACGCTCCAGAAAGGCTGATCCCGAGCCTCCAGGGAGAGTAACCCCAGCCGTGTTCCTGGCCCCCCTCGGCCTCTCTCCCCACAACCCCGCCAGCCACACTGAGGTTGTTCTTCGGGCTGTAAGGGCGCTGAAGTCTTCGGCTCTGTGGCCCTGCGGCTTCACTCAGCGTGGGTGATGGATGCCTGCCAGGTGCTCCGGGGACCAGGGTCCAGGCCACTGATCTGACAGGAGCTGTTTCTCTGTGGCAAGGATGCCCCTTGGGCCAGCCCGCCATCCATCAGCCGCCAGCGAGGGGCTTTTTCCAGTCAGCAGTTAGTGTCATTCCAGCTGCTCATAAATCTTCTGAAGCACTTCCCGCTGCCTCAGGAACTGCCTGCCGATGCGCCAGGCAGAGCCCCAAAGGTGGGCGTCTGGGGCAATAGCCACGGAGGGATGCTGAGAAGGGGCTCGATTTGGAAAGCAAGAGTCTCAGAAAAACAGGAGCACGCCCAGTGCAGGCCTATCAAGGGGATGGTGAAGACCGTGGAGATTCACAGGCCCACGGGTGCCATGGACAAAGGAGGAAAGATTATTCTACCCTACCTGCCAGACTGCAGAATCAATGAGACCGCAGAAAGGGTCAGAATATGCAGAATACTTTCCTTCCAGCTCACACTTAAAGGATGTATTTGCCCCTCTCTCTGTCAAATAAATAAATAAATTTTTTTAAAAAAGGGGGGGTGCCTGGATGGCTCAGTTGGTTAAGCATCTGCCTTCGGCTCAGGTCATGATCCTAGGGTCCTGGGATCGAGCCCCACATCGGGCTCCCTGCTCAGCAGAGAGTCTGCTTCTCCCTCTCCCTCTGCCTGCTACTCTGCCTACTTGTGCTCTCTCTCTCTCTCTCTGTCAAATAAATTAATTAATTAAAAAAAAAAAGGATGTATTTGCAAAGACATACTCACACACACACTCACACACACACTCTCACACACACTCACCCCTCCTTCCCACAGAGAGGATCTGGGTTTTCTGAGACCCCTTCCACTGGCTAATCCAGGCCGTTCGAAGGAGCGGTCTCCCAAAGAAAGAGACTAAAGAAATCTGTGCAAAGACTGGAACTGCACTTATTCACTCAGCGAGCGTTCCCTGGGTGCCTGTTATGTGCCAGGACTGTCCTGGGTGCTGCAGGTGACACGGGGAGGAGGCAGATGTCATCGCCCACGGAGCTTCTCCTCCACCTGGAGGGAGAAATCGCAGGCAGCACCAACTAAAGGAAGAAGGGCCAGCGGCCTCGCCCTGCAGAAGGACTCGGGCTGACAGGGTCCTAGATGCCTGCAGGGCGGTGTGGACCAGGAATCTGAGGGCATATCTGGGCCTAGGTTTTCTCTGTCAACGAGGGTAATAATAATAATAATGCCGCCTCACAAAGCGCATGAGGACTGCAAGGACGGATACATCTGAAGCCTGTAGGATGGTGCCTGGCACAGGATGGGACTCAGCGAAGAGCAGAGTTAAATGCCATCTGCTGGGCCCTTCCGTCCTGTCCCTGGCCACGTGTCCCACCACATGTACCTTCTCGCTGCCCTGCAGGCAGTGACCCGATCACAGAAAGACTCTGTGCGCCCCTTCTGCACCCAGCACAGCAGGTCCTGTGGAGACCGGGGGTCACACATTTACTGGAGGGGCCAGGTGGGCCCTGAGGCAGCAGGGTGGTCCCTTCTCCCCCAGTGACCTCGCTGAGAATGGAGGGAACTGCTCGGGCACTGCCTGCTGCCGCCTCCATCATGCCTTGGTCAGAGGAATTGAACTAGTATGTCGGAGGTCCCTCCTCTTTGGTGGCTCCCCATGCTCTCTCTCCGCGGCCTGGCCTTCTCAGCTCCCGGTCTCTGCCACTCCAGAGGTCCTGACAGATGGTCCCGCTGCGGGCTCCCTAAGTGACCCGTGCTCTGTCTCACCTCTGAGCCTTTGCAGGAGCGCTTCCCTCCGCCTGCACACCCTGTCCCTCACTCCCTGTCCCTCACTCCCCACTCTTTCTTTGGGCCTCAACTTGGCTATCCCTTTCCCTGGGAAGCCATCCTCCTCTCCTGCTCCCACTTCTCCCACCATAAGCATTTATCGCTCTCCCAGCTCCCACTGCCTGAGTCTTGTGAGCTCTGTGCCCGCAGAAACCCGGTCTGACTTGGCCACGGTGGACACCCAGAAGTGCAAAAGGAGCCTTTCCAGGAAAACACAGGCTAGAGGGCCCCAGCCTGGAACTGGACTTCAGTATGTTGGAGTAGGGCCCGAGTGTCTGCATTTTTAACAAGCTCCTCAATTCTGATGGCCCCTGAGCGGGGTCTAGTGCCATGCCTGGCACACCACCCAGTAGGTGCGCCGTGTTTGTTGAATGACCGCATGACTTCTGCCCATAAAAGGCCACTGACCGGCTTGGGTACGGGGTTCCTACGAGAAAGGGGCTACCGGCGAGTTAGAAGTCAGGTCTAACGACCCAAGTCCTCTAAGAGGTTCAATCAGCGGTGAATGATGGGGGGGCGCGCCCCTACCTCCGGGGGGATGCTGTCCTCCGAGTCGGAGCTGTCCTCATAGACGCTGCCGCCTCCGCCCTCCAGGTTCATCTGCAGCAGCTGGTCGATGGTGGCGTCCACGGCGCCGCTGTTGGCGCGCAGCACGCACTCGATGATGTCGTAATCCATGCTGGGGAACATGGTCTTGAAGTCGTCCATGGCCTGGTTGAACTCGAGGCGGCGCACCTGGCGGGCGGGCCGGCTGTTGTTGAGCTCCTGCGAGGCGGCCCCCGCCCCGGCCCCGGCCCCGGCCCCGCGCGCCCCCGCCGCGCCGCCCCCGCCGCCGCCCCCGCCGCCGCTGCTCCGGCGGAACAGGCTGGTCATCTTGCCGAGCCGCTGGGGGAGAATGCTTGCGGCCGGCGCCGAGCCCCTGCCCCCGGATGCCTGCGCCGTGGCCGCTCGCTCGGTGGGCTCGGGAGACTCCCTCCCGCGGCTCCCGCTCCCCTGGGCGGCCAGGCGGGGGCGGGGCGCGCGGGGTCGCCGGGTCGGGAGGCTAGGGCGCGGGGCCACCGGCGGCCCTCGGGGAGCGGCCCTCGCGGGGCGGCGGCATCCGGGCCTGGGCCTCTGGTCATCCACACCCCCGGGGCATCCTGGGGCCGGCGGTCCCACCTGAAACAGAGGGAGGCAGAGTCAGGGGCGGGATGCCAGGGGCATTAGAGAACCCGAATGCACGGGACAACCGCTTCTTTGTGCTTTCTCTCCAGCTGCGACAGTCAAACGGCCAGGGTTCTGTGCTGGCACAGGACTGCTACCTGCTAGCCAGGGCTTACTCCGGGCCGGGTCCTCGGTGAGCTGGGTGGGCTGACTCCTGACACCGCTATGAGGTAGATGCTAGTATCCCCATTTCGCAGGTGGGAAAACTGAGGCATAGATGTGGAGGAATTAGGATTTGAACCCAGCACTATGGCCACTGGTCTCAGCCACTACTCCTACTGCCCAGGAGCCCTGACGACCTGAGGCAGGAGGGGCTCTGTACAGGCCCCAGCCTGCCCTCTAGTCTCCAGCCCACCCCAGTCTCTGCTTCCCACATCACCGTCCCAACTTGGTGACGCCAACATCATGGCCTCCAGTTTGTGGAGAGTGCCATTAAATCTGCGACAGAAAACTGTCCAGCCCGCTCACAACCAAGCACGTAAATCACTGCCAAGGTCACATTTTGTTAGTGCAGTCAACTGAGAGTTGAATATGTCTAAAAACCTCAAATTCTGACTTTCTCCTGCTTATCCCAAAATTAGTAATTTTGTTAATTGTAGAAAAGTGGCAGCTTTAAGGGACCGTTCCATCAAAGGATGTTTCCAAAGTTCCTAAGTTTGACACAATAGGTGCAAAGCTATTTTCCCTTTTCTAGGACTTGGGGTTATCATCTTAACAGCTGACACAGAAACATCCGTGTGAGCAAATCAGCATGATGCTCTTGCTTGCCATGATCTCAGCCGTCAAACAGCTGATGGTGTAAGAACGAGAGCAGAGGAGTGTGGAAGGTGCTATAGATGGGCTCTCACTCACCCCAGGGTCAGAAGATCCAGCACTACCATTGATTCCCTCTGTCTCTTTCGGTCAGTCCCTGCCCAGGTCGAATGAGACCGCATATTGTTCCCCAGGGCCACCAGGCTGAGATTCTAACCTCCTTCAAACCTCTGACTCCTTAGATGGATGTGGAAATTGTCCAGGGCTCCTGTTCTGGGGCTTGTTGGGTGGGCGTCTGCCCAGTCCCAGAAAGGTGGGCTATATCGAAGAATGGAAAACCAGGGGCGCCTGGGTGGCTTAGTGGGTTAAGCAAACGTCTGACTTCAGCTCAGGTCATGATTTTGGGGTCCTTCAATTGAGGCCTATTGGGCTCTCAGTGGGGAGAAGCAGACTCCGTGCCAAGCTGGGGCGTCTCCTCCGCTCGGCAGGGAAGTGCCCCTATCCCCGCTTGTTCTCACTCTCTCTCTCAAATAAATAAATAGATAAAATATTTTTTAAAAAAAGAATGGAAAATTAGAAGCACTTGGGCCCCATGCAGCCTCTGGACACTGATGTAACAGAACTACAATCCCTCCCAGCTTCTGGAAAATACCTATTAACACTCTGGTTTATCTGTCTACATCTAGATACTTTCTCTATGCATCCACTACCGTATGTATGCATTTTTTTACGGAAATTCTATGCAACTTGTTTTTCCACTTAATAATTTATTGTAGCCATCTTCTTACGTCAGAACATATAGATCTACTGCACCATTTTTAATGCCTGAGTAGTATTCTGTTGACTGGGTGAAGCATGATTCATTATCCAACTCCTTCCACCCCCCTGTCTTCCCAAACGAGCAACTCACAGCCCAGCGAAGCCAAAGCCATTTTACAAGGAGATATAGAGGGGTGACCTCAAATGGTCAGTCCAAGAACTGTGATGAAAATGAGCACAGGAAGGTAGCCAAGTATGACACGGCGTTCCACAGCCGGCTTTAGACACCCCAACCCCCACGTCCACACCCCTCCACCACCCCTGCCACATCAGAAGGTCAGAGGATGCTCTGATTCTGCCGGAACTCTACCGTAGAGCCGCCGCCTTTGTCCCGGGCTCCAGAAACCTGCGCTGCGGCCTCTGACAAAGACCTCGGGGGCACGAGGCCCCAGAAGCCAGGGCCCCGGCTGCCATCTGCTATGCTGATATCATCATATATACAGGTCAGTGCCTTGTGCTAACTAACACCCTCTCTGGAGTAAAGCCACCTTCTCGCTGCCCCGCAAATAATTTATTAAGAGATAGAGGGACTTGGCTCTCACTTTGCCAAGGGCAGACCCATGGGGAGTGAAGCCAGCACCTGACCCCCCTTCTTCCGGATGAAGAAGGAAGATGATGGGGTCCAGATTGCCCCCATTAGCAGGCCCCTGGATCGGCCCCTCGGGCTGTGAGTGTCAGGAAGGTCCCGAGGGGCATCCCCACCCCCTGCCGTTTGCGGGAAGCGCAGGGGTTCAGAGCCAGGCTGCCGTCCCTGCTCTGCCCCTCCGCAGCTGTGGGACTTCGGAGGAGTGTCCTCCCCTCTCTGGGCCCAGTACCCTCACCTGTACTTATGGGACTTCGATGAGGATGAAACAAGATCATCCCCCACGCAGTGCCTGGAACATGGCGAGCTACCTGACTGGCGTTGTCGCCGCCCCAGAAGGCTGGCGAAGAGCCAGGAGCAGTTGGCACACCGGCCAAACTCTTCCCCAGAGTGGCTGGGGTGGGCGAGTCCTCCAGGCCTTAGAAGAAGTACTGATCCTCGAAGCCCCAGGGGAGGCTGGCTGGCCTGGGCAGCTGGAGACACCACAGGTCAGGCCACCTCCTCTTCCATTTACCCCAGGTGCGAAGCCTGGAAAAACAGCCTGTCCTGTGCGCACCATGATATGGCATGGCTGACAACTCTGGGCCAGCCCCACAGCCTGCTCCGCACGTCAGACGAAGGCGCTGACGCCCAGGACCTGTCAGAATGGCTCAAAGACATATGGCCCGTGGTGGCCAAGCCTAGACTTTCCCATCGCAGCTTGTCCTGTGGATGAGGAGCGAGTGGCTCAGAAACGCTAATGGGAAGTGCGGGGAAGCAGAAATACCATCTCCACAGGACTCCGCAAGAACGCCCAGACCCCAAGGCCAAGCTGCCTACAATTAGCACCAGGTGGGGCGACACAGGCCCCCCCACCCCCACCCCGTGAGGGCCATCCCTCGCTAAGCTCAAGTGCAGAGTGTGAGGCCAGGGCTGAGGTGGGCCAGCACGGCTGGGAGCAGGGAGGAGGGCTGTCCTCGGGGCAGTGTCGTCCATGCCAGGCTGCCTTTTGCAACCAGCATGGCTCGGATGAAAAGCAATTTAAAACACATGGAAGAATTAAGGCAGGCGACTTCGGTTCACAAGCTTGTGCCAGGCGCTTTCACATTCAATCCTTATTACAACTCCAGGGATAGACGCTATCGTCTCCATGTCATAGCTATGGAAACCAGTTCAGAGAAGTCAGGTAACCTGCACAAAGTCACACAGCCAGTACGTAGAGAGGCCAGAATTAGGAACCCAACTCCTAGGAGCCAAAAGTGCCCAGTCAGGCTTGGAGGGCTAGGAGCCAAGGAGCCTCAGAAATGCAGCCACGTGTGGCCTGGGCTTAGAAGACTGGGCACAGCCTGGCTGACATTCCAGCAGAGGGGATGTGACCTAGACAGCACTGGGGGAGGGGTGTCTGTTGGCCAGGCCCCAGAGCCGGCTCTGTGACCTTGGGGAAACCGCTCCACCTCTCTGAACCCCAGCTGCCCGGTGCTGGCAGGACAACAGAGGGAGATAACCCCTGACCCACTTCTGAAAAAGGAAGTGAATGAAACCCGTTGAGCCTGTTAGATGTCTTGGTCTTGGAGGCCGACTCCGCAGCTCTCCCAAACTCTGTGCTGTGAGTGACCTGGGGACTCGGAAGCAGAAATTCCACACCTGTCCACCCCCAGGTCCCAGGGATCCCAGCCTTCTGCTTCCCCATGAAGGAATCCGGGCCCGGGAGGACGGGCACAGCAGCCTGCCAGTCCTCACTCCAAGTGTGAGGAGACCGCCAAGGCCTGAGTCACTCCTGGCCTGGCCCAGGGAGGTGGGCCAACTGCCCGAGTTCTGTTCTCCTGACCTTGCCCAAGGTCAGTCCAGCCAGTCTACTGCAGGACCAGGTAGGGTCCACCCGGGAGATGTGAGAGCCTGGGAGCCAGAGTCCTGGGCTGCCCTTCTGACTGGGCCCAGTAAAGCCCAGTAAGGCTGTGTGACTTGGAGAAATCACTTCGCTTCTCTGAGCCTCAGCTTCCTCGTTTGTAAGAACAGGTGTAATACCACCTACAAGGGATGTTGTGATGGAACTTATTTTTATTTTTATTTTTTTTTAATTTGAGAGAGAGAGAATGAGAGACAGAGAGCATGAGAGGGAGGAGGGTCAGAGGGAGAAGCAGGCTCCCCGCCGAGCAGGGAGCCCGATGCGGGACTCGATCCCGGGACTCCAGGATCATGACCGGAGCCGAAGGCAGTCGCTTAACCAACTGAGCCACCCAGGCGCCCTGTGATGGAACTTATATGGGGGCCCGGAGCTAGTAAGCACCCGAGGAAACAGGTTGGTGTGGCCTTAGGCACAGGCCTTGGCCCTTGGCTACCCTCACAGCCTGAACGATCTTATCCAGTCTGCTTTAAATACCATCTACACGCTGAATAACAGGCTCCCAAATTTCTCTTGCCCTGAGGCCTCCGGGGAACACGCCCTTCAACTCTACAGTTGCTCCGCTGAGGCTGCCCCCTCTTGGATGTCCAAGAGCAGCTCTGACATACTGGGTCATCCGACTTCGTGGTTCCTTCCAAACCCACCCTGCTCCTCCCACCTTCCTCATCTCTGTGAACGGCAGCTCCACGTGACTCAGGCCCAAAGCTCAGGCGTCTCCTTGAGTGCTCGAATTCTCTTACACCCACACCCAGTGGCAGCAAATCCCATTTTTCCTATCTTCAAAACCATCCCAGAACCCGGCCGCCCCTCACCACCTCCCCTGCTACCGCTCGGCCTGTCTGTGTCCCCCAGCCTTCCTACAGAAAATTCACCGTGGCGGTCTCGTCATTCCTCTGGTCCAACCCCTACCTTCCCTCCCGCCCGCGCCGCCCCCCCCGCCTGCCCCCGTGGCTCCTCATGTCCTCAGAACACAACCTAGAGCCTTACTGTGGTCTGCCAGGCCCCACACCGTCCTGCCTGGGCCACCTGCCTTTGCCGTCAAACCTCACTCTGTCCCCTCCCCTCACTCTCCCTGGGCATCCTGGATCCTTGCTCATCCACTTGCAAGCCATGCGCGCGCCCATCCAGGGGCCTCCATCTCCTCCCAGATATGGACATGCTGCCTCCTTCCCTTCCTTCGGGCCCCTACTCAAGCATAATCTTATCAAGCACCAGCCCTACCTGCCACGTTCCCTCACCTCCTGCCCTGCTTTGTTCTCCTTAGGGAACAGACCACATGAGAGATTATTATATATTTCCTTGTTGTTGACCATCTCCGCCACTGAGAGGTAAGCTCCACGAGGCCAGGCCCAAGCTTTATTCACTGTGCTGAGTACAGCACCTTCACAGTGCCTGGCACTGACAATGGAGATTTGTTAGGGGGATAAAGAAGGGAAAGGAAGAGGCAAGAGCACCATGAAAGGGAAGCTCTCTTCCCTTCCTCCTCTGGCTCATAGCAAGGTGGGCGGTAGCCCTTAGTTTCCAAAGCCCTTTCTCCTCTATGGTCTCACTTAGTCCTCATGAAAAAGCTATCGTTTCTATAGGGGCATGCATTATTACCCCACTTCACAGATGAAACAACTGAGGCCAAGGCAGTCAGTGCCATGGTTAAGGTCCTGGGAGCCTCCTGCTGCCCAGCCTGAGGGCCTCCTCCCTTGCGAGGCACAAAACGCCGATGGCAGGATGGTCCCCTCGCCAAGTCAGCGTCAGCTCCAGGGGACAGGAAATCAACTCCCTCCAATATCTGACTTAACACTCCTCCTGCCACCCCAACCCTGAAAGGTAGGGGTAGAACAGAAGGCCTCAAGAAGAGACAGAGTTAGGAGGCCAGAGGTCCCAAATTGCCGGCACTTCCCTTTCCCCAGCACTTCCCTTTCCCCAACCCTCTCTCGTCTAGAAGGAGGAGGGACTGCCCAAGGCCAGCTCTGTCTCGGCACACCTCTGGCTCCCTCCTCTGAAAATCCCCCAAGGACAAGCCACACACCGGAGCTTGTGATCAGTCCGTAATTGCTGTGATCCCGCCCTGCAGAGGGGACTCACTGTCCCTTCTCACCTCAGGTCTGGGCCCAGCCCAGTGGCACCACCAAGCCAGGCCACTAGGTGGTGTCCCAGGGCTCAGGTCCCTGCTGGTCCCAGGGAAAGGGCAGGCGAAGCAGCTTCCCTCCGAGAACCCAAGAATCTGCCCCACCCCCACCTCGGACTAAAAAGGAGAGGAACCCCAGCAGCCCAGGGGTCTCAGAACCCAAGACTGGAAGGGTCTCAGAAGGACTTATTGTCCAAGTGGGAAACACAAGGCCCACACGTGCCACCAAGTTCTAGTCCCCGGCCTTGGCGGACGTGGGGATCTATGCAGGTGTTACCCCTGTCCTGTGGAGCCCACAGAGCCCCTTAGCGGATGATTGGAATGGGCAAGCTACATGCACCCTGCTCCCCAGCCCTTTCCCTCCCGTATGAGAAGGCGACTGCCCGGCTTGCTTCGTCTCATCAGGAATCCGGCTGCAAAAGCCAGCGGGGCCAGAATGAGGCCATATGGCCCCTGGGACGCTTGTGTCGCCATGGCTAAGTCCTGGGCAAACCTCAGGTGGGTAGTGGCAGCGCTAACGGGGAGGCTGCCGGGCCAAGGGCAGCTGCATCCTTGTCCAGTTGTCACCTCAGTCGCCATGGGGGCAGGGCGCAGGGAGGCCGGCTGAGCCGCTGGGCTTCTGAGCTGGCGAGGCCGCAAAAAGGGGGAGAAGGGAAGGTGGAGGCCCCAGAGACAGAGGCCCTGGGGAGTCTGCGCGGGGGGGGGGGGGGGCGGGGGCTCGAGCGGCCGGAGGGGGAGGGGCGGCGCCGACAGAGGCTCCTTGTCCTTCTGCCCCTGCACAGGCCTGTTCTCTTCCCAAGCTATTCATGTCGCCGCAGCTTCAAAAGCCAGGTGACCTTTAAATGCCGAGCCTCCTGCTCCTGCCCAAGGCGCGGAAAAGGCTTAATGGAAAACTCAACCGGCCACAGCTGCTGGGGTGACGGCGACAAGGCCAGCCTCATTCTGAGGGCACCGGGCTGCCGGGCAGCCACACCTGTGCCCACCTCTGGGGGCACGATGGGCACAGCTGGCGGGGAAAGGAGGCCTGGCCGGGCCTGAGAGGAGCAGGAGGAAGAGGGGGAGACACAGTCTCAGCCCTGCCGTGTCCTGCTGTGTGACCTTGGGTTGCCCACTTAACCTCTCTGGGCCGTACCCCATCATTTAGTCCAATCTAAGCCTGGGGCAGAACAAAAGTCCCCCTTCCCAGAAAAAAAAAAATCTTTAAAAAATCTGTAGAAGAAAAAACAAGGAAAAGAAAGACATTTGCTTTCCTAATTTTTCTCTCTCTTTGCCTCGACGTCCAAGGCCAGGTGTGTAGGCAACGGGAGCTCTACGGTAGGGCCTAGGGCAAGAGGTCTCGAAGGAAGTTAATAAGGTTCCTCATTCCAGTTGAAAACGTCTAAGATGAAGCTCCTCGAACATGAGTAACGTGGCATTCGTTTGGCCCCTCTTGGTAGGATATTGGTGATAGTGGTAATAACCTAACCCTGTTGCCCGCTTCTTTCCGAGCCAACCCTATTCCAGTGCCTTCTGCATGTTAACTCTTCTCATCCTCTCGTTGCAGCCCTGCAAGGGGCGTACTGTCACTGCGATTTCTACTTTGTGGATAGAAAAATGAAGCACAGAAGAGTCCAGGGAGTTGTGCAGGTCACACAGCTAAGTGGCCAAGGGAGGTCTGACTCCAGAATGGACGCTGTAAATCCATCCAGCTCCACCAACTCTCTGTGTTCCTCGAGCTGCGCACAGAGCCAGGCACGTGGCAAGAACTCAGGTAACCGTGTATTGAATTGAGTCCTCCACGGGGCACAGCTGCCCTGGGGGAGGCTGGGGGTGCGTGGGGCCCGTGTTGGGGGAGCAAGGGAAGAGGAAGGAGAAGTTTGCGGGCAAAGCCTCATCCTGAAGGAGGGACCATGGCAGTTTCCTTACAAAAACCTTTTCCCCACCCCACGAAGGCTGTTTAGTTGCCTGGACGACCAACTGTTTTCCACTTTGACCTGAGCCTCTTCGAAACTATTTCCACAACAATCCCTCTCTCCATCAACACATTCTATCAGCTCAGCCAAAACGCTCAACCCAGGAGCCTGTGAGGAGATCAAACGTCAGTGGACAGAAGGGGTGCTGCTCCCCACTGCCCTAACCCAGGGGCCGTAGCCCTGAGGAGCCCCTCTGGGCTGGCAGCAATGTATGTCTACCTGGGAGCAACTCAGGGGCCCAGACTCAGGCAAGGGAGTCCCTGGCAGCTCAGGTGCAGGCCAGTAAAGCTGGGCTGGCTCCAGGTGTGAGCTCATGCTGGCCCGGGGCCAGCTCCTTGGGAAAGGGGGGCCAGCGGCCCCTCCCTGGGCCTCTCCTTCAGGCAGTTGGGCTGCAGGTCCCTCCAGAGGCAGGGCCTGCATGTTCTGGGGCTGAGCTCTCAAGTCTGGATAGTTCCAGATGTCTCTGGGCCCCTGGGACAGGTGCTCGGTCAATGATGCCACACACTTTAGTATCTGAGCATGCCCAGGGAATCCAGGCCAAGGAACCAAGATTAGGGAGGGGTGCTCAGGGTAAGCAGGGGAGGGTCCTGGGAACAGAAGTCCGACTCCTGCCCCCTTCCCCTCACACTAACACGTACTGTGCACCCACCCACTGATCCATGAATCCCACTTCTATGGAATTCATATAATATGTATCATGGAAGACTATACAACAGAGAACAAAAATGAGGCCTCTCTATATGTCTCTCTGCCCAAGACCTATGGCCAAGGAGAGCAATGCAAGGCAGTACTGTACTATAGTACGTTATAGTATGTGTGTGTCAGTAAGTATGGAGAGGACATTCATAAGAAACTGATCCTATAGGTTTCTGCTGGAAGGAATTAGGTCATAAGAGACAGATCAGAGAAACCTTTCTCTGTAAATCTTTGTATATCTTTTAAATTTTGATTCATGTTCATTATCAATTTAAAAGTAAAATAAGCAGATAGCCTATAAAGAATAGCAAAATGAGAGCAATGCCAGTGATTTTTTAAATCTTTTTGCATGTGTATATTATCTACAACAGACATGAATCACTTTTGAATAATCATTATAGCAAACGTCTATGAGTGCTAACCATGTGCCATGTACTTTCTAAGCACTTGGCATGCATTATCTCATCCAAGCCTCAAAGTAAAGCAATTATAATACCCATTTTACAGATAAGGAAACTAAGGCCCAGAGAGTTTAAATAACTTACGTGGGGTCACACAGTCAGTGATGGAGCCAAAATGTGAATCCAAACGGTCTGGCTCCAGAGTCCATGCTCTTCTTAACCTCCTCCTTATACTGTCTCTCTAATTAAAACAAAACAAAACAAAACAAAAACTGAATGATGACAAAAAAAAGTCTTAAGCAAAAAGCAAACTACAGAGCCTCTAGGCCTTTAGAACTTTTGTAATCCTCAGAGTCCCAACTCCATCCTTCCTGCCTCTACTAGTCCAACAGGGCTTTGCCAGTCCTGCTTCAGTGGGAGCCAGGCCCCACTCCTCTCCCAGTGCTCCCTCCTGCTCAGGGGCCTGCCCGCCTCCTGGTGGCCTCGCAGGGGAGAATGAAGGGCCATGGGGAAGGTGGTGGCCGATGCCACATCTGTTCCAGAGGTCAGACCGCAGCGTGTGGGGTCCTCCGGGGCAGGACAGGGCTGGGTCTGGCCAGGCAGCTCCTTGCGGAGGGGAAACCACACGTTGGTTGTGAATGGTGTGGAGTCTGGGCAGCCTCCACACGGAGGTTCCAAGTAGAGCTTTAGCTCTGGGCCAACCTCAGCTTACATTCTGATCACCACTGCTTGGGTGAGTGGAGCTTCTCTGAGTGAGTTTCCTCATCTGTAGAATGGGATACCTGTTCCTCTGAGGACGGGTTCCCCTCCAGGGGGATTCATGAGCTGGGCACACACAGGCTCCACACAGATGCCCTCAGCCTGGGGCAGCTGTTAGCAAAGCCCTAGGGCCCCACACTTCTCCGCGGCTGAGTCTAGAGCCTGGCCCAGGAGTCAGGCCTGGGGTTACGATCTTGAATCCAGCCCTGAAGGGGGACAATGTGCAGCACAAAGGCCTCCCATCAGGGGCCTCCAGGACCTCAGGCTGGGGGGCTCTGGGGCCCCTGAGTGGAGCAGGGAGCTGGGCCGACAGCCCCATTCCTGCCCATATTCTACTATGCATCCTAGCGGAGAAGGGACTGGAATATACTGGGGCCTGGGTCGCCCAGGCCTCCCACTCCTCCTGGGGGCCTGCCCTCTTGGGGAGGGGCTCCCCGCCATCCCCAGGGGTGAAGGAGCACAAGCACATAAGCCAAGTGGCCTTCTCAGAAGTGCCGGCCTCTGGCAGCTGAGGAATGCAGGCCCAGGGCTGGGGAGCAGGGCCTTGGGGAGGGGGTGGTTGGCCCTGAGCTTCGAAAGAACAGGCAGCAGCTGTGGCTGGGAGGGCCTCGGCCCTCCCCGTCTGGCAGCCAAGACCCCATCAGAAATTCCACCCCAGCAAGAAGGGCCAGCCCAGACAGCAGATGGGATTGTTTAGAGCCACTTACCAGGCCAGCTCCTTTCCCCAACTGCAGGCTGCTACCCCCTCCTCGCCCCGGCCCCTTCTCAGTCTGTACGGCAGCAGAGCCCCCCCTCCACAGCCGGGGGCGCCCCTAAGCCAGCCACCAGGCACCCCCTCCCGGCCTGAGGCCCTCCGCTGGCCACACCGCCTCACCTCCACACAGCCTCGTGCCCACCCGTGCCCTCTGGAGAGGCTAGGTTAGGACAGCAGGAAGAAATGTTCTCACTTCCAGATAATGCCTATTGCCAAAGGTCATAGAGCTCCTTGGCCTGGGATTTGATCCCAGCTGGGATTTGAACCCAGACTCCTGGGCCAGTGCTCCCTCCCCATGTGGTGCACACACTAGCAACTCCAAAACAGCTCGTGCGTCTGTGTGTGCAACACGCACCAGCTCACTCAGATCCGTTCACTCGCAAGGCCACGGGACACAACCAACCTTCATTAGGTTTTTCCTGAACACTCCCCTCCGCCCCAGGTCCTCAGTCCATTCCTCTCTCCACCTAACTCCAAAGCTGGGTTTTTAAAATTACAGCCACGCTCTCCTCCACCCACTGACTGCACTAAGTGTGAGCCCACCGTGCGAGCCACGCCCTGCACTGGGCTGACGGCAGGGCCACGGGAGGCCCGCAGCCCTCTCTCTCTTCCCCATCCGTGCCCAGAATGGCTTTTACAGTGTCTGGGGCAGCAAAGGTGAGTTCAGGTTGACCTGACCCGCAGCAGTGCTGGCCAGAACCAGAGGCACTGCCTTCCCAGTTGCTCGCAGGATCAGCGCCTGGAATGGAGCGCAGGGAAGGGCCTCGGGCCGGCGGGGCTGCCAGCCCTGGCCCTCAAATCGGACAGTCAGCGGGAGGGGGCGGGAACTCTTGGGGGTCCCATAACCAGCCTTCTTTGCCTCCAGGAGTCTCAGTCTCCGCCTCTAGAAAATAGAAACAGCCCCTAATGAGTCTCACCCTTCCCATCACTGAAACCCCCCAGGGATGCAAGGACATGGTGGGGTGGGGTGGGGTGGATAAGGGCCAGAGAAAGGCACCACTGTACGAGGTACAAACCCACGACGTCTGCAGAAGGAGGTGGCCGTATCCCAGTCCCCCCGGGCTGGAAGGACTTGTAGCCTTTCTTAGCTACAGAACCAGAACCCTTTCCACCCCTTTCCTCATATGAGACCCTCAGCAGAGGTCCCTCAGCCCTCCCCTCCCCCAGAAGTTACACATAATCAGAGAACCTGCCATTTACCGAGTGCTGGGCCATGCTGCCCGGGCATGGTGTTGGTTAATCCTCACGAGCTTCTAGCACTGTCCATCACTGCCTTCTACCAGTATCAGAGCCATTTTACTGAGTCATGTGTGACCTAGAGGTTGTCCAGGGCTGGGCCGCATCCAACCCCTATGGCCTTACATGGCAGAGACCAGTGCACCTGTCAAATCTCCCGACCCACTGGTTCCTCGCAAGGGTTTTAAAGCCTGGGTTCAACCTCCATGCTCTTGTCTCCTGAGCTGTTTGTGTCTCTGCCTGTTCCCCCTCCTGCTACCAGCCTGCTCTTGGGAAATGTTAATGTGCTTTTCTATCAGTCTCAGAAGCAAACATTCTTTGCATTCAAGCCATGTATCTCAGAGGGTGGTGAGACTTCATCAGACTCCCCCGAGGTGTTGCTAAAAACACATATTCTCCACCCCACTATTAAATCAGAATCTGGGGGGGGGTGCTGGGAATCTGCTTTTTAACAAGCTCTCCGGGTCATTCTGATGCCCAGTAAAGCGTGAGGACTCCTACCTCACAGGATGATGCAATATAAAACTCTGGATTCTAGTTTTAGCTCCATCACGAACCAGCCGGGTGACCTTAGGCAGGTCATTTTACCTCCCAGGCCTCCAGCTTCCCATCTGAAAACTGGGCAAGGAGGACTAAAATGATCTCCAGACCCCTCTCCCCAGTGACAGCCTCTGTGTCTGCCCTAAGTCCTCAGATGGTTCCCAGGAGTATAACTGAATTTCACGGCCTGCACACCATAGACACACATTAAAGAGAGTCCACATCAGACTGATTTAGGGAGAGCTGCACAAATACCTTCTCTCTGGCTCCAGGCCCTAAACAAATGACTTTTGGATTACACACAACACTTCCCCCTCCCCCGAGCATCTACTTGCTTCATTCCAGCCCAAGACGACCAGGATTCTATAAACACTGGGTCTGCACACCTGGGCTTAGTCAACAGTCAGCAAACAAAGGCTCTGCCAAATCACCCCACAAGCCCAAACTCGCACCCGCTCTGTCTCTCAAGGGGAAGCACCCAGCCTAGGATGTGTGGACCCTGCATGCCCTTCCTCCCATCACAGAATGGGATGAGGGGCTGGGTCGGACAGAAGGTATGGATAGAACGGCCCCAGCCTACAAGTGGGTTGCAAGGTTTATCCAGACTTAAGGGCTGTGAGGCACGGGAAGCCCCCAGCAATCGCTGGGACGTTCGAAAAGCAACTAGACATTCCTTAGTCCCTGGGTTCCTTGATGATCACCCCTTAACACACAATGTACCTAGCAAGTGCTCAAGCATTGCTTGCTAGCGGTAAACATTTGCTTGATTCGTCCTTCAAGGTCTATGTATACTTAACAGTGGAGCTGTGGGGATTCTCAGGCCCACAGACACAGGGTGACTTCAGATTCCTGTTACCTTTGCGGATGGTGAAGCTATGTGTGCTCCTGCCAAATTAACCAAGGGGGAAGGACGAGCCCGAGAGGCAAGAACGGAAACCCAACGTCCACGGTGGGACACAGCCGGGAGTTCCAGCCATGGTCTGCTGATCCTACTCATTGAAGGATACTGAAATGGATCATTTCCTCACTCTGAGCACGCCGACTGGCCCGAAGGATGGTGCTTTACGTGTGCACCGCACTTGACGGTTTACAATGCCGAGGGAGGGGGGCGGGGGGTGGAGTCCACCAGCCCTTTCCATTCAGCCAAGCTCCAGGCCGGGCACGTCCCCTCCGGCAGGGACCCACTCTGGCACTGTGTGAGGGCACTCCCCCTACACGGAATCCTCGAAACAATCCCACAGGCTAGGAAGCAGATTATTTGGTAGATGAAGAGACTGAGGCAGGCAGAGAGGAATTAACTTCTCTGCGGTCTCACAGCCAGGAAGTGGCGAGTCGGGATTCTTCCCCAAAGCCCACGCTCCCAACCTCTTACCGCGCTGTGCCTGCACTTACGTTGGTGGGCCTCTGATCTCTGCGTGGGCAAAGGGAGAAACTGAGGCTCCAGAAGAGCTGGGCCCTGGAGTCAGCCTGGCAATGGTCCCCCCCACCCCCCCGGCCCATCCAGGTCTCCTGGAGCAGGGGAGTAGAACAGAAGTGGGCACAGCCCAGCTCAGAGCTGAGCCAGTCCCGCCACAGGCCTCCGCCACCACAGCAGCCCCAGGCCCGGAGGGGCCAGCGCCAGGGTCCCTCTCCCAGCCCCAGCAGGACCTCCCTGTCGGGACCTGGGCTGTCCTCAACACTCAGTTGCAGGCCCCACAGGAGGAAGCGGCCACACTTGAAAATCATTGCCATGCAGGGCCGAACCTGGGGCTTTTGTTCTTGAGCAAGGACGGTAACATTTCACTTTCAGGAAGGAGCTGGGAGGGTGGGGCCGCCTCAGAGTTGCACAACCGAAAACACAGGCTCAGACACACACGGGGCCCACGTGGAAGTCTGCTTAGACAAGCCCCCTGCGGACTTGCGGAAAAGGCCTCTCAGCCACGGCGGGTCCGCACAGAGGCCGGAGACGGGCC